AGTTAAAACAATACCACTATTATTACGATTTAAATACTGTAAAAACTGATTAAGAGAATTCTCAGTAACCTCCCAGATAAAAATAGGTCATCAATATACCTAAAATATGTGACCAGGTTTGCCTGCCAGTGATGCCCGCCCCAGAATGGCAGTTGATTCCCATTCTGCCATAAAAAGTTTGGCATAACTTGGGGAAAACCTGGTCCCCTTAACGGTTCCTTGTTTTTGTAGATAAAAAGAATCTAAAAACCAAAAATAGTTATTATTTAAAATTATTTTTATGCCGTGAATTATAAAATCTATTTGTTGATCTGTAATTTTATTTTCGGCCCTTAAAATGTTCTCAACTGCTGAGCACCCTTTATCATGAGGGATAATTGTGTGCAAAGATTGTACATCGCATGTAACTAAAAAAATATGTGTTTTTCCAAATAAAATTGTTTAAAAACCGAAGTAGGGTCATTGAGTCTTTCAAGTAAGATTTCATACACTTCACTGAGGGCTGTAAAAGAATATCTAAATATTCAGATAAATTAGATAAAATGGAATTAATCCCTGACACAATGGGCCTACCGGGAGGGTTTGTGGCATTTTTGTGGATTTTAGGTAAAAAATAAATAACAGGAATTTTAGGGTGAGAAACATTTAAAAATTTGAATTCTTGTTTACTTAAAATATTTTGATCACGACCACTGATTAAAAAAGAAGTTAAAACCTGTTGGATTTTTGAGGTAGGGTCTTGTGTTAATTTTTCATAAACATTAGTGTCACTAAGTTGTCTCATAGCCTCTCCAACATACATGTCCTTAGATAATATTACTATACTCCCACCTTTGTCAGCTGGTTTAATGACAATGTTTTAGTCTCTTTGTAATTGTTGTAATGCTTCACGTTCTAGTTGTGTAAGGTTATCATGATCTAATTTATTTTTATGAATTTTCTCCACATTTAAGGCATTTATAGACGTAAACAAACTTGTTAGGTGGGGATTGTACCACCAATACGCTCACATCGAGCAGTATAGCCTGTTCTACATATTGTGAGTACATTTCATATATTTTATATCTCTTTATTCATAAAGACACAGTGAGCACTATATTTTATTCCTTCTATTTTGGGCTGGATCACCTCAATATTGGACTACTGATTCGTCTTATAAACCTGCCAACCAGCACCACTTCACATATCCTTGAGCTGGATTTTAGCTCTGGAGATTGTGAGTAGTACTTATTACAACTATTTTACTATCTCATTTTATGTACATACTGTACCATTGGAGTCCCGTTTCTGTGTTTTCTTTCCTCATATGCTTCACTGAATTTCAAGTACATACCCGTGAAGGCTGATTCCATTTTACTGTAGTTCAAGAGTCCTTCCTATGAGCGTGGATTGCACCATATTGGACTTATGATAAGTCATTTGGATTATTATTATTTTTATTATCTTTTCTAAGGCGCACCCTTTTCAGTTTTGTGTTACTTTGTGTTAAAATTATTTATGAAACTCACAAATCATATATAAAAACCAAAATGAGATAAAGACAAAATGAAAGTAAGAGAACGTTGCCATTCAACTTCCATTAAACTGTAGTGTCCCTTTAATGTAATGCATGCTCAGAGCCTTTAAATCAATTTAATGTTAGAAAGGGGACACACCCCAAAATTCAAACAGAGAAAAACAAACAAATCTGCAATTTTATTCTCTTCAAAACACAAACATTTACTTTATTGTTATCAGAAGTACAGAATACCCTTTAAACATACTGCATCATTTGAGATGGAGAGAATCTTGTGTGGTTTTTTTTTTTAAAGGGGAGCCAGTCTTCTTAAAGTGACACTGCAGCCAAGTACAAAGGATTTGCTAATTATAATTTAATGATGTTTATTCCAATGAAATATTGACTTTGGTAATTCCAACTAAACTAACATACTATAGCTTAGATGGTAGCACTGATTTGTTTATATTGTTTTAAGATCACTTTAAGACTGTTTATGTTAAAACCTGGTGAGTAGATTGATTGTTTAATATGGATGTGGTTATAATTGTTGCCCCAAGACATTTTATTGTATAGTTGTCCAAGCTATCGCAATGGATTATGGGGAGTGTAGTCCAATTACATTTTGGAAACCCTTGTATTTCTGGTAAATGTATGTCTTACCTTGCTTGCAGTTCCTCTCTGTCCATCATTGGCCAGCCATTGACTGGCTGAGGATTGTAGGAGTTGTGTATCCCATGGACTCAGTGTTAGTCGCTGTCTACCGTGTGAGTTAATTGGTGAAAGTCTGTTACAGATTCAGCCCTCATGGGGTTACCAGCAATTAAAGAGAGCCTGCAGTAACACTGGGAGTTGAGGGTGTTTTGGGTATAAAATAAATTTACTTTAGGCTTATTAATGAAACCCCTTCACGTTGTGTTTCAGTTAATACATGAACACACCTCCCAACATTTCACATGGACAAAGAGGGACCCTTTAATTTTAGGTGTGTGAGTGGGGGTGGCCGGGGGTAGGGCTGCCTAGTAGGTATACCTCAATAGACCTCCCAGGCACACCTGGTGTTAAGAACCACTATCACAGTAAGTGTATCCAATAGGCAACATTTATTGTTCACTTGCTGAGAAAATTGACAATGAGCATTGCTACCAGTAGATGGCGCCAAGCTCCAGGCTAAAGGTTTTACACACAGCATGACTTCTGTTTAATGAAGGTACATATTCCGTGGAGCTGTACAATGGTAATATAAATTTAAAAAAAACTAAAAAAGGCCAAATACTTTATGGTGAACAGAAACAAGAGAGACAAAGAGAATCGTGAAAATATTCTTTCCACAAATTCTATTAAAACTGCCAAACATTGATATAATTTTCTGGTAGGTTTAGCTGCGATTGCCGCCCGCTGATCTGACCATTTATTTTTGGTGTGAACGCAGCCATCTTTGAATTGTGTTACAATTGTCAAACTCTGACAGGGTTACTCGATAAAGTGGGAATTATCAGGAATTTGAAGAGAAATTTAGCGCAAACAATACAAACGGAAAAATTCACAAAAATCACCCCACTCTCACTTTCCCTAAAATGTTAAATTCGCTTTGAATTCTCAACAATTTACACATTATTGAATTACCCTGAGAAAGGTGCTGCTAAAGGAATATTCTATGGTCATGCTATGGGCCCGCAATGTGAAAAGAAATAGCATGCCTCCCAAGTGTCCTGCGTTTGGCGGGACAGTCCTAATTTTGGGATCCTTACCCTACTCCTGCTTTTTGTTGCGATTTTCCTGTTTCTGATGACACCAGGAAAAAAGTCAGTAGGATGGAACAGCAAACTACAATCAGGGCATCACTTTTTATTATTGGTATTTACATAACACCGACACATTCCAAAGTGCAGTACTTATAGAAAGGGGGGGTTGGTTCAGGTCTGCAACATTGCCCTGCCCAGCCGCCACTAGTGGCTTTCCCTGGGTGCCCCTGGTTCGGGACTTTACCTTCATGAGAATAAAACCGAACGCTGGCTCTATGGCGGGTGTTCGCAGGAACCAAACCCACAAATAGTCCCAGTGGTACTTAGCCGCTACCACTATGGAACTAAATTTGGCATGAGGACTTTGTGGGTTTCTGGTCACCTCAGCGGGACTTAACCATGAATGTTATGGAGCTGTTTTCGGCATGAGATGACCGTGCGGCTCCCGGACAACTTGGTTCACGGTTTTGATCTACTTACTAAAGGTAAGACTAGGTGAGACTAAGGGGAACAAATTCTACCTAAGAGCCAGGCGGAGCACCCCATATTGCAGCTGCAGGAGCTTCTGAAAGTTGACCGGCAAAAGCACCATACGCACTGGAACTATTTTGGGCATAGGGCCACGTGTGCAGCCGGTCAGAACTTTAACACGGTGGCGTTTCCCCTACACTGCATGGAGCGGAGCGTTATTTGGAGAAATTGGGTGCTCAGCTCAGGGATATTTAAAGAGGTATTATTTGTGTGGTTATTTTATATTTTTATTATGGTTTTGGGTATTTTTATGTTTTATAGTTTTATGTTTGCCTCTCTGTTCCTGGGAGATAATTAGCTTACCGGTCTTTAACGCAATTATCTCACAGGCCCAGAGATTCCTGGGAGGGGCTTGTGGTAAAGACAATGGAGAACCCGTGCTGGGGTCGGTGTATAAAAGGCTGTGTTTGGTTGTACTCCAAGATCTATGGGTCATCTAGTTACTGTGAGGAGAAGGGCTATAATCACTGCTTAGCACCTTGTTCCATCTCGTGGAGGATTCGGCAGGGAAAGTCCTCATAAGGGCTAGAGCTCCCAGGACTGTTTGTCGTCCAGTCCCTGGGAGGGAATAGAGCTAGTCCCCTATCCTGTTCCAGGATGGAGAGGCTCTAGAAGGACACCAGTCCAGCTACTGCAACTATTGCAGAAGCTCTGAGGTTTTTCCCCTGTTCCAGCTAGGAAGCGGTCCTTGGCGGAGGTACCCAGCTGGAATACAAGGAGCTCTGCTACAGCATCTGCAGCTTGACATGACCAAGTTTTACTCTGTCATTGCAGCAGAAGCCTATTGTCTGTTTGGAAGATGTGTTTAACCCTGCAGTGGAAATTGCAAAAACGACATTGTCCCAAACGCACCCTACTTCAAGAGTGTGTGTGTGATGTAGTTGTGGTGGTGAAAGGGTTAAAGTTCACTATGTCTGCACTGGACCGGAAATAATGACAAAATTCCCCTTAACACCACCCACACGTAAACATAATAAGATAACTTATTATTTTACCACTGCCACCACCAAGACAATTTATAAATGGGGTGCCGTGGTCCCCCAAGTAAACTTAATATAAAATAATAAAAACCCACCTAAAAGAACTTAGCACACTATCTAAACAATTGCAAAATACTAATTAGTCTCTTCAGGTAACGTGATTCTTAACCAGACGAAGACAGAACTTAATAAAGGAATATTTATTATGAGCAAAAAACAAATAGATGAAAAAACTAATTATTTACACCAACAACAGATAAAAACAAAATAGATAAAATAACACAAGTCCTAAACAGTTACTCAATTAGGTTTTCAAAGTAAAACCTTTGCCCAGGGGGTCTCTGGTAAGGAAGATGGTGACTCACTCAGAATTAGATTTTGGCCCCAAGCAAGTACACAGACATTTCAGTACCATTGAATATACACCCTGTGGATTACCACAGCTGGTCTAGAAGTGTAGTTAAAGCGTATCTATAGAGATAATGAGTGACCACCCCCTTGTGTTCCACACCAACATCAATCCAAATGGAAACATTTTGTTTTATCTTCTCTTATGTACCCGCCACATAAATAATAATTGCATCTACGAATTTATTATTTTCCCATTCTATACATATGTCACACCCCTGACTTGCGACCCAATATGGCAGACATCACAATTCCTTAACCTATGGTTAAGTTATGCCACTCATGTTTGGGCTTATTTAGAATATGGCGATTGTCACATTCCAAATATAACAAAAATGAGGCTTAATTATTATTCTGTGGGTAAATATTAATGTTAATTTCCTTTTGGATATGATACTGGAACAAGGCTAGTGGCCATTAATCTATCAAAGAGATTGACCCATCAATTCAGAAGTACAGGCCATATGGCTGAAGAGACATTCAGGCTACTTATGTGTCACACCTTACAAAGCCTTGATTAATTCACAGGCTCCATCCATATGGTAAAACCCTTTTCACATTCCTATGCAATTTCCATTACCACTTCTATCATCTGACCTCTGTGGGGGGAGGGCGGGTCCCAGCTTCAATGAGAATTAAGGCAAAAAAAAAAAAAACTTCTGACCTTCCATACAATCAAATTAACCCCTTTTGACATTGACAATCCATCCCTACCAGGCAGGAAGATCACTAATGCACTACACAACTTAAATTAAAGGACAACATTCCATAGTGCAATAATGAATTATGCCCCTTGCCTTGACAGGCATTGTTTTATATTATGGGGTTAACGGGACCACTGCACCGAGATCATTTCATTGAGATGACTTCTGCTGGTACAACAGTAAAGAGCTTTGTGTTAGACTGCAAGTAAAACACTGTATAAATGACTATATTTACCCATTGTGTCTAGTGCGGTGGAAATGGCTGACGTATAAATGAATGATACACAATTCCTGATTTCTTTTCCAAGCCATGCTTACAGATTACAGAACATCATTTATATCATTGTTACATTTTATTCTTTCAGTGATACACACGTAGCAAAACAGAATAATCTTCACACGATGAGGCGTCTGTAAACATTTTCATTGGATGATCATGAAGTCAGTCTGTAAGCATCTTTAAAATGACAACAAAAAAAGACAAAAACTTTTGCTACTATGTGTGGTCCTACTTGTCCCAAGTAATACACACTTTAATAGCCAGTCTCTTTAAAACCATTCCTAAAATTATATAAAGTATAAAGAAAATGTGTTCTTCTACATGTTTTTAATCATTTTATGGAGTTCCCAACGTTGCTAATGTAATATTCCCTAGCAATCCATTTGATGATTTTATTACGATCATCTGTAAAACAGAGTCTTACCAAGGATAGGAGGGATTGATCATGGATTGATTTTGATCACTTCAGGAATCTATGTCCTTAATGTCCTGGTGAAGAAAAAAAACCTTCCCCAAGTAGATCCATCGACTGAGGGAGTCAGGATTCAGGAGTGAAGCACAATTCCACCCATGTGACGAAGGTCATGGCCGAGAGCCTAAAGTTCATTTTCTAAATCTGGCAGTTCACATATATTTCAAATTGCTGCAGTGGAGCCCAAATCCACAAATACTAGCAGCATGAAGACACATACAATTATAATACAGAAACAAACATCGCTCGATACCCCAAAATATTCAGAATCCTGTCCACTAGCTTTAAGGGATTGTGGTGAATATTGAGACATAACTTCACACAGAGGATACCTTAGTTAATGGATAATTATATAGAATATATATTAAACACATACTCTGCCAATCAGTACTGCACACATACCCAGAAGTCACTAATATAAAAAATGTTTTGCCTCTACGTGCGTTAACTTATACAGAATTTCACAGATGTGACTGTTGCCCTGAATTAGTGTAGTTCACATGGTGAAGGAGTCACAAAGGCTGAGATTTGGTCGAATTCTAAAGAGTAATTTAGAAGAGGGAAAAACATAGGGATTGGGAGCAATACTGCGCTCTGGGTAATGTCAGATAGGTGTATATAAAGGATTAATTATGAGAACAGGCCCATCAGGCAGGTGTTTAACTGTGCCCCGACCTCTGTCTCATCTACTGATTTATTACACAGAATACATCTTTTGTTGGCAGCTATCTGAAGCTGTGTGTAGAAATGTCTTATCTTGCTCAGTCATACATTGGAAGTTTAAAACTCTCTCCTAAGTGGGGTATCTGACTGAGAGTAACTATTAACATATTACCTCCCCCAACCTTCCTGCCCCAAGTAATCCCGTGTCTACCAAGACTGTAGTTTTTCTTTTTTTTGGTGCCTATGACACGGCACTAGAGGTGCCTTATGGACGCCATGACACCCTCCAAGGCCAAGTCTTCTAAAACACAATATTAACGTGTTTTATTAAGTTCTGTCCAAATATGTTTTTCCCATGTGCAATTCACTAAGGAAAGCTGACAATTTATATCATGTTCTTGCATTTCTCTTTGTAATAAATATGCACGTTTTAGTTATGTATACCCTTCAATGTGTGTATAATACCCGAACCATCTTCTATTTCTGATCTTTAGCCCCCCAAAAACTAATCTTTTACCATGAACCTTTATCCACCCCTTTCCCAAATTTCCCATAAGTAGAGAAAACAGGAGATAGACCTGAGACTCCAGAGAGGCATCCTGGGCAGCCAATGCCCTATGGCTTCTTTTTATTTTTTATTTTTTTTTTAAATACTAATTGCCTTCCAGGAAGAAGGGAGAAGATCGCAACCAGAAGTTACTGATACATGGATCACGGAAGGATTCTGTCCTGGAGTTTGGAACAATATTTCAAAAAAGCAACCCAACTATCTGCTGGGGACTCATCAATAACAGATGCTCCTGGTCAAAGTTCAAGAGATGGTCATTGTGAGTTATAGCTCCTTCAAAACCTTTCCATACGTCGGCCATAATAAGCTGTGAATTGAACAGGGACAGTTTTTTCAATCAGTTTTATGGAAAGAATACGATAAGGACATGAAATTTCCAAGGCCGACCATTTTAGGATGGATGTGTGCATAGATGAGGTTTGATTGTCACTGCCTAAAACTGCTGTGCTTGTAGTCCCAAGGAAGATTCTTTAGGTGGAGGAAATGCCAAGGTAGGAGAAAAGGGACTATATGAAATGCGTGGATGTTTGTCATCCTGTTACCTGTAGAATCTTGGCTGTTAGTGAAAAGAATGGCTTCATTGGTCAAAAATTTGGTTTTGTGTTGAGGATATGTTAATTAGCCAATCTCTTTGTCAATGTTTGTGGCTGAGAACCTCCACCATCATCAAACCTCTGTGTGTGTCTGCTCCGCGTATTCTAGCGCCAGATGCCCCCATTCCAGTGGTAATGTTTCAAGTCCGTCTTTACTAACTGGCTGGACAGCGAATTCCAGCCGACCTGAAATAGGAGGGCAGGCATTGGGTACTGCCAGGTCCACCACCCGATAGACGCAAGCATGCGCCAGACCTAGAAGATGAGCATCAGAGGTGGATGAAAGAAGGCAGGTGACTCCTCTGCAGTAAATGCGAAAGTGACGCGCGCTGCCCTTGGGATGCGCCCAGCGCAGTGTAAGGCTGACCAACAGCTGATCTGTCTCTGGATTCCTGCGCCAACGGAGGTTGGAGATTGAGAGATCTGATGGCTGTGCAGGCAGAGATGGAGGTTCGGACACATCCAAGATCTGTAGGACGGGAATTGGACAGATCAGTGATACAAGAAGGTGAATCAGCAATCATTTATGATACAGGTGGTTGGACGATGTCAGACAGGCACAGAATCTCAAGCTTATTCAGCTTTTGATGAGCCATATTAATTTTATATTTATCTTTCACATACATATCATGGAGACTAAAGTTCAGCAAGAATTAAATAGATGCAAGCTTGCCAACCTAGGTTAAAAATGAAGTACGAACAATGGAAGTGTGAGGGGACCACACACAGAATAAAGCAAGATACCCTGATCTCTCCGATGCGACACGTGAAGAATTCATCCTGCCGACTGTCCGTCAGGTGGGATAGGTGGATGGACAAACTGGTCAAGAAGCAGTCATTGAGCTCCACTTCATAGTACCTGCCAAGAGATAAATTGTCAGCCGTGGATATTCATGGTCTGTGATTACAAACTCAGACTAAATGGACACCATTTACAGGCAATCACAGACAGCGAGTCTAGAGCCTAGTATACCTTGAGAGGATCAGGAACCAGACACATATTTTATACTAAACCTGTAATTATCCTCCGAGGAATATCCTGCCCTCACATGCCACTATGTTACACCAGATTTTATTTCACAGAACAGAAAAAAAAATTACTAATTTCTCTAGAATAAAAAATAGCTATATTAAATCACTATTTTAATTACCAACAGCCCCTTCCTTTATTGCCACTTCTTTGCAAAAGTTACACAAATTCTAGGATACACAACGTGAGCTAGAGAGAGTACAGCGATAAGAAAAGTTCCACATAATAAGCCAGATAGAGTAATGGTTTTATGCACTAGAAAATATACAAATATATAAAGAGTTATATGTACTAGAGAATGTACATACATATGTGAATAGTTCAATGCACTAGAGAGAGTACAGATGAATTAAAGGGACACTATAGTCACCAGAACAACTACAGCTTATTGAATTTGTTCTGGTGAGTAGAATCATTACCTTCAGGCTTTTTGCTGTAAACACTGTCTTTTCAGAGAAAATGCAGTGTTTACATTACAGCCTAGTGATAACTTCACTGGCCACTCCTCATATGGCTGTTAGAGATCCTTCCTGGGTCATGGCTGCCTAAAATGCATCCAAACATTCTGTGTCTCCTCCCTCTGCATGCAGACACTGAACTTTCCTCATATAGATACATTGATTCAGTTCATCTCTATGAGGAGATACTGATTGGCCAGGGCTGTGTTTGAATCATGCTGGCTCTGCCCCTGATCTGCCTCTTTGTCAGTCTCAGCCAATCCTATGGGAAGCATTGTGATTGGATCAGGCTACCACTTCTGATGATGTCAGCAAGCTGCTTGTTTTTTCTGAGGCAGACAGGGCAGAGCCAGCAGCTTCAGGCTTGAATACAGTAAGATTTTGCTATATTTACAGAGGCATGAGGGGCCCAGAGGGGCTATATGGTGGTTTTAACACTATAGGGTCAGGAATACATGTTTGTGTTCCTGACCCTATAGTGATCCTTTAATGTCTAGGGGTACGGGAACATGCTGGTTGATTCCATGGGCCCAATTTGAAAGTTTAGGTCAAGAGATACTTGGCTTGAATAAAGATCATACTCCCTCTAGGGTATGATATTCAGGATTTGATTTAAGCACATTAAATCCTCAGTTGAAGGCCTGTCATTGGTTTTCAAACACCCACCTTTGCACCCAGCCATGTCTGTTGTCTTTCTGGATGTCTGAAAATTGACTGGGAGGATCAGAGAGCGTCTGCAGTTTGCGTGCCTCCACCTGCTCTGCGGGACACAGTGAGAACATGGTCAGTGGAGCTGGGAGGGATACTGTCAGACTCACCAGATGTAGTACATTACATAACATAAACAGATTGATTTAGACATTGGAAGCCAGAAGCACAGTGGCATTACCCCCACCAAACTTTAAATTATTCTTCCAGACCAGATCTCTTCCTCTCCCTTCCACTACCTTACACACAGTGTGGATGTGGCACCAGAAGGAAATATGCTGTATATATATATGCTGTATATTTAAACAATTTCTACTATTTACTCTCTGATAAAGCAACCTCCTGTTTGTGCACTACAACCCCCATAATCCTCAGCTACCGGCAGGCAGAGAGCCTAAACCTGATATAAAATAATACTTGTCTCACCACTCACTCCTGTGATACTCTCCACCTGGCAGGAAGCCACGTCCTGCGTTCCCAGTTCCAGCGCCACAGACACTTTGGATGGTTCCTCCAACTTGTACACCAAGAGGAGCAAGAGATTCTGTGGAGACGCGACATGCAGGGACAACAACCTAAATCACAACACAAGGGACTTAATGGCGATGACCAATTCTTCATTTTAAAAAGTGCCCCTTCTATCTTACAACAGACCGGCCATCAAGGCAACGAAAAGTCCTCTACAGCAGGACGCTATTCACTGAACTGGATATCTTAGAGAATGTTAGCCAACAGACAAAGGAGTTGCAAACTTTTGCCCAAAAAGGCATATTTAGAAAATTGCTGAAATTGAGAATTTTCCTAACTTGTCTATTTCAGCCTAGAATTCCCAAATCTGTGATTAATTCTCCTCAATTTCCAGTTTAGCGAACAATATCTTACAGGATTTTTGTTTTAAGATACATTTGACAGGCACGTCAAAGCCATTATCTGACTCGTGTTTAGAACAGTTTTAGATTTATTACCAAAAAACACCTTAAAAGATTAGAAACATACATTTCAATTCCAGGTCCCAATGATAAAGATCTGCAGTGTTACGTGTATAATACTTTATAATATCAATTATTTCCCAAGATAATCTAGACTTGCCAGGTGGTCCCAAGAGTGGTGGAGCGTGGTCATCTGAAGTGTTGCTCGTGGTGGGGTTTCAGGCAAAACTGGAAACAGTTTCTGTTGCTGAACATCAATGCTCATTATTGGTTTAACTAGGTCCTAGCTGTAATGGGGACCAGTGACTTGAGAGCCGCCGGTATTCATTCATTACAGAGCTCCAATAAGGCAGAACAGCACTATTCTTTACTGGGGTTTAGTTAATTCAGATCATTGGCCATGCGTAGAAATTCAAAAAACATGTTCTAAAGCAGAAAGTCATTGCAAACAATGCTAAAAAAAAGTCACAGCCCTGTCTGCCAGGAATTCTGGGAGAGACGTGCAAACAATTTTATTACAGTTGCTATGTCTAGTCTAGGGCAAGTTATATTTTCTTTACAGTGTGTAGTTATGGTACAGCAGTACATTTGACATTTTACTGAAACAGTGGGAAGATTTAGTCACTTTTTGATGTCAGTACAACTTTAATAATGCTTTTTACAGAGGTCCCCATCGGGGAGTCAAAACCAGCTTCAAAAAAACAGCATTATCCATCACTGGACATTGAATCACTCAGATTCTAGCTCATGGTATTGGCATAAAACACAGAGATGGGGATGGTAATTAGAAGGTGATCGTTGGGGTTTATTTGCGTCTTTCATAATAAATCCAGGGAAATTTTCAGGACCACATTTCATACCATACCATACCTAGATTGTGTACAGCAGCGTCATTGAGAGTTTTATTCATGTGATGATACAGCATGACCAACATTGTCATACCTGAATGCCACCGTAAAACGTATTTCAATGTAAATTATTTTTATACTATGATTATTACACAAATGTATTTTCCAATGAACCTGTCTTTTGCCTTTCACTTTCTTAGTGAACTCGCTTGAATTCCTACCCAGGCACTAACCTCAGTGTGACTCCATTTGTATCTGCTGGTAACTTCCCCTCAATCAGCAGCGAGTTGCCTCCTTGCCACGCATCCTTCTGGCAGACACGGGACCTCACCCACCCACTCTGTTGGTCTTGAGACGTGACCTCTGTGAAGATTGGCTGAATCTCCTGGGCACTCAAGTTAAACCATGGGCCAACTTCTTCATCCTAAAGAAAAAAAAATGGCAGCACTCTTACTAGGATACACAGCACGGGGCCCCATCAGGGATCATCTTCTTATGTAAGACAGCAAAAAAAGGGGCAGACTGATCACTTGGTCATGGTCTGGGGCCCTATTCCCAGCTAATGGGGGTTCAAAGATTTACATCATAAAAAAAACAAAATGAGGACCTCACCTTTCCAAAAGAGAATCTCTTCTTTCCACATCCAAGGCAAAGAGTGGAGCAAATAGGAAGTGAGCAGAGGCTGTGTATAAATAGATAGTTCTCCAGCAGAGACCAGAACCTGGAATGAAAAAGACGCCATCATGAGAGACTGACTGACACAGTGCAACAACAAAAAGACAAGCCATAGGAAATGGACAATATATCAGAAAATGTTTTATTTCTTCTGGTTTCAAACATTTTCTTAGTTGTAGATCTCTATTGCCAAGTTAACAGTACTCTTATTAGACTAATGTGATGCATATAGTGATGGAAATAGGAAAATATGGCAAAAAAGAAAGAAATTGTGCATGATCCAAAGCTAAGCACGTTAAATGTGGCACCTGTCGATGGTCTACCATGGTCTGGACATGTGTGGCTGCCAGTGGTGATTTATGAATGACAGGATGCGTGTGGTGACATTTTGTCAAACTAATATGGTGACCAGGGGTCGTGTGACCAAGCTCATGTATGCCTTTCTTACAGGCGGATAAGCTTTACCATTTAAAATGGTAATTAGGGAATTCAATACCTTTAACCACTTCCCCCTATCTCCATTCCTCCCTGTTCCTTCTCGGCTGTGCTACTGAGCAGACACGTGAGCAGACATGGCCTAATTATTATCATGGTGAATGGGGAGTGGGATCTGATGACTTTATAAGGTTTAGTTGTTATTGTGAGTTAGTCAGATTGTGGTTGCTGTTGTTGTTGTTTTGGTTAGTTAGATTGTGGGTCATTATTTTTATGTTGTTGTGTCTCTGAATTAATATTTGTTTAAGTAGACGGACCAGAGTTTATATGTTTATGTGTACATAATAATTATAGAGTTTGGTAACACACCACAATGCGGAGTATGGCAGCAAGAAGAATTCTGAATAGCACAGGAACACACTGAAATACATCCTCACTAAGACATACAGTTCAAGCAACTAAATAATTTACTGGCCAATTAAGTCCTTTTACCAAACTCCAACAGAGTGTGCATTTTATTTACTGAACAAAATACTGGAGGATACAGGAGCTCTGAGAAATGAACAGATGTATGTAACGCAGACTGGTGGAACATTAAAAATCCCAATGAGTGTGGCTACAGTGCAGACTGGTGGAACATTAAACATTCCAATGAATGTGGCTACAGTGCAGACTGGTGGAACATTAAACATTCCAATGAATGTGGCTACAGTGCAGACTGGTGGAACATTAAACATTCCAATGAATGTGGCTACAGTGCAGACTGGTGGAACATTAAACATTCCAATGAATGTGGCTATAGTGCAGACTGGTGGAACATTAAACATTCCAATGAATGTGGCTATAGTGCAGACTGGTGGAACATTAAACATTCCAATGAATGTGGCTACAGTGCAGACTGGTGGAACATTAAACATTCCAATGAATGTGGCTATAGTGCAGACTGGTGGAACATTAAACATTCCAATGAATGTGGCTATAGTGCAGACTGGTGGAACATTAAACATTCCAATGAATGTGGCTACAGTGCAGACTGGTGGAACATTAAACATTCCAATGAATGTGGCTATAGTGCAGACTGGTGGAACATTAAACATTCCAATGAATGTGGCTATAGTGCAGACTGGTGGAACATTAAACATTCCAATGAATGTGGCTACAGTGCAGACTGGTGGAACATTAAACATTCCAATGAATGTGGCTATAGTGCAGACTGGTGGAACATTAAACATTCCAATGAATGTGGCTACAGTGCAGACTGGTGGAACATTAAACATTCCAATGAATGTGGCTACAGTGCAGATTACTAGAAACAAAAACATTCCACCTGTCTAGTGAGATAGATGGGCACCGACATTAGGCTTTATACTCAAGTACCAGATCGAACATTTTTTTTAAGAATGTTAATTTAGGTCCCCAACTCAAGTCCCCCTGAACTTCATACAGTGTTTACAATATATATGTTAGCCCCCTTGTACTTACCTTAGCGGTCAGGCGATCCGCCACCTCTGAGATCCGGCAAACCGCCGCTCCCATGCAGCATGAGGCTCCAGACAACCTCATGGACGCCGGCTGCTGTGCACCCGCCACTTTTTATGGCACGACACGCGTTCCGCAGTCATGACATCAGAGGAGCTCTAAACAATAGAGCTCAGCATACTATTATCTAACCATGCCCCCAACCATAAAAAAAAACCAGTCTGCCCAAGGAACAGTGCCCTGTTGTGGCTCTTAGTGTCACTAGTGTCCCTGTAGTGCGTTCTTTTGATACTTTTGGTATTTATTGGTTTTGACCCGGCTTGACCGACTATTCTGATTTCTGGTTCCCCTGACTCGGCATTGTTACTCGTCCTTGTGAATTCTGGCTCCCCGTGACCTTGTTTTTTTCTGACGTTCCTTGAAGTTTATTCTATTATCCGGCCATTCAGGACCGGTTTATGGAAATTCTTTCTGTCTCTATTTTATCTGGTGTGTTTTTGCTCTGCGTTTTGGGTTGTACGTTACAATATAGACGTAAATACCCCATGACTTTACCGCAGACTGTCTCTGTTTTATCCCAATAGTCATTCTGTTTTTCCATTCTAACAAATATATGTTGGAGTAAGAACTAATATAGCACATTTTTAATAATAATATTATAACGCAATGTACCATTATACAGAACGGACCTAAACTAGAAAAATAAAAGTCAGAAAATTGGACAAACCCACTTCCTACTCACTTGTGCTGGTTCTGTAGGAATTCTTCTTTTTCCAGGCACTCCATAACCCAGCCAGGGGCAAACAGAGCGGCTGACAGGCCATACGTTCGGATCATCTGCAAGGACTAAATGAAAATACATTATAAATAACAAGTAAACGCATGTAGCCACAATCCACTTTGGCTTAGATGGTCAGTCTAAGAACCATCACAACTTTGCCTTATTGTTATGTTAGTGGTGGACAGAGTACCCTATACCCTCAGTTCTGAGAGTGGCTTAGAATTGCCATTTATAAAAAAAATAAAATAAAAAAAAATCAGTTATAAGCCCGCCCCTCAGAGCTGTCAAGCAGGATAATAATTCTTATTTCCAGATTGCCTATTTTAGTTTAGTCCAAATTATTTATAGGACTACAGTCTGGTTCACACAGATGAACTACACTGTATATAAATAGAGAGCCAGGGCATGGCTGCCATCACTTTTTAGTGCAGTTCCCCTTACGACGAGTGGAACTGCTCCTGGGGTATATACTACTTATCCCATAATCCTCTGCTGGTTTAGACATCATGGACCAGAAAGCTCCTGATTGGTGGAGGCTCTTTCTGGTAAATGAAGAGTCTGCCGGATCATATAACTATACAATCATTCGCCTATATACGGCATGCAAATAGAGGCCTATATAAACCTCTTTAACTCTATATTATTCCGGAAGAAAACAGGCGAGGCCCAGGGAACAATGATAGCAAATCTTGACGTGAGGTAAACCATGAATATATAAAAAGGCCATCATTCAACTTATGCAGATGAAGTGCAACGAGGACTAGAATGATGAGTGCGTAAAATAGGGAAAGTGTCAGAGAAGCAGAAAAGAATTTTTAATTAGAAGTAACCTTGAAAGTGTCAAATTTCCCTCCCACCACCTCGCTTCGAGCAAACACGTCTACGCCGATATACACGTCCATCCGACGCGGCTCGTCCGCCATAGCCTGCAAGTTTCCCTCTCGCCAGTTGTAGTTTGTAAAAATTCCATCACAGGCGTCAAAAAACTGCCTGCGAAAGATAGAAAACACAGGTTATTCATATACCGGCAAAACAGGTTCGATATCAGCCCCTGGACAGGAAGAAAGATCAAAGGTTGAATACAGAAATGGATGGACATTTTGCTTTTAGCAACTTTAATTCTCAGCTCAATATTAACCAACTATACATGCGGATGAGCTTGTCCCTATAGCCTTTTGGGGGTTTTATTAATTTGCATGATATACTCTAGTTGTTCCAGGACAGCCAGTGTAACTTACAATATAAAGAGGAATGACATGTTTAGAAAAGAAATGGCACAATCTACCTTATAGCTAGCCATCAAATTGCATAAATCTCACGTGACAGATCTGCTTTAGCCATGAAATTAAGATAATTTTATGTTACCATGACTGCAAAATACATCTTTCTGCTAAGCTAGGCTTGCTACAAATTTTCCACTAAATAAAGTACACAAGGTTTGCTTTAATAAGCGCATGATTCAATCCTTTAATTACACTAATTTAGCCGCCTCGCTGTTCGCAGCGCACTCCACAATTTGTTTATGAAGAACGTTTGTCTGGAGGCCAGTAACAATCAGGAGCCAATCCTTCCCTTAACTGTACAACCTTTACCAACACTTCATCCATCAATCATCATTCTAATATACTGGACAGGAGGTGGGGAAAAAGTAAAAACACATTGCCATTTTGTATAAATTAACTTGCAACAAAAGTCACTGTTTCTAAGGATTTAATACTATAGCCATTTGGCTACAATAATAAACATTTATAGCAGAGAAAAAATACACAGTATAAATTGAAGGCAAAGACGAATACGAGTAAGAAAGACTCAAGAGGCATGATGTCAGACGACCCAGATGAATGAATAATGCGTGGGGGACCTGTGGTTACATGCCGAACATAGATGGGATCCATTGTCCGCAAGGGTCTGATCCTCCTGGAGCAGCACTTCAGCCATTCAGACCGTGTGGGTTTTGATATGCACTATTTTGTATTTTGTTTTTTAATTTTTAGGTACTGGCTCTTGAAAGGATTCTATTCTATTATCTTAATGTTATTTTGTTCACCATGCTGAGATTCTTTGTGGATATTGTGTTTCTCTAATGTCAGAAGAATTTTATAGGTTCTGCCCATTTGTAATTGCGCTAGAAATCGAAACAATTTGCAGATTGTTGTTTGCACTTAGCACTGTACTTATGGAGATTGTATATAAATAATATAATAGCACATTAAATTAGCACCTGCATGCCCTCTTTACTTTATATTTTTAAATATATATATATAAGCTCCATGACTTTCCTGGTAATGTAATAATGTTAGCAACGTTCTGACTTCTCCTCCGGTGTTATTAACTCACCTGTTATTGTCATTAAGCTCATTCTGCCATTTTAACTCCCCGCTGTGGATCACGCTGTCATACCACAGGATCAGGCCGCCCGGTACCCGCTGGTGCAGCTGGTCTGTCAGATAGCGCAGAAAGAGGGGAGCACGGGACACTGCTAAGGGCTGGGTGAGAAGCGGATATGTGAATAAAAGGGCCTCAGGACAAACAAACATAAAACAAGCAGCAGGTAGACAGTGTATTAAATGAAGGATGCAGACATAGAGCCCGATACTCACACTCAGCAGATTCTCGATATTGACCAACCACCCATCGAACTGAAAATACTCTGCCAGACGTACCATCTGATCAGCGACTGCTCGATATGCAGATTCCTCACCAGCCAAAAACAACTCACAGGCTTTTCCTCCGTTCTCCCACTCTGTGATGAACGTACCTAGAATTAAAGGTAAAACTGTGAACTAAAAGCACTACGGAATCTGTTGGCGCTATATAAATGGCCATAATAATAACTAAGCTGTACCCGGCACAGGGATCAAGGGGAAATAAAATAATCAAAGCAAGATTAAAATGGTTACTGGGTAAGAGAGGACTGCAAAAGTGCCAGGTGGGTGGTGGTTAGGGTGGCAAGAGTGTCACGTGGTAGAGAGTTGGGTCCAGCTTATCAGAAGTGTAAGAGTGCAGATCCATATAAATGAATGGCAGGTAAACAGTAAGCGTGCTGGTACTATGGATATCATAGAGTCCCCAAAACTGCCACATAATAGTACTTAAAGGAAAGTAATAGTGCTATATTTCATTTCTCTTTTATTCCCCACTAAAACATGGATTATAAAACGGACACGAAAGGCAAATTCTAGAACCTACATGATCAAACAGATGTTTTTCAAGTAAAAAAAGAGGGTTTTTGAGAGGACAGCCACCACACCCCGATATCACAGTAACCAATTATATCCCTGCTGTTTAAATCTTGGTCTTGTGGATTTTCAGTTCTAGTTAAACACATCCAGTGATTTTCGGGCGGAGTCAATCGCCTGCTTGACTTTGATGCAGTTTTATTGGACTGTATTATAACCCGCTAGAAAGCAGGAAGACCATATCCTTGCAGTTTATTAGTTGCCAGACCAGTAACGCTTTGGCAGAGAGTTCTCTGGTGCTACAAGGTTACTACTTGCATTTTACATGAATCTTACCTAGGACGCACACGCCATTTTTGTGAGCAGCATTGGTCCAACACACAGGAGGCAGCGTGAACATTTGATGACTGAAGTACACGAATATATCGATATGTTGCCAGTGGTAGAATACGTAGGGGTCACTTGTGTCGGAACCCTGGACAAACCTATAACAGAGCAAGTAATAAGCTAGGAGCGGACATCCATTTTCCCATGGCCATTCTTATATAGACAGTACAAACAATATCTATAAGCCCTGGAGACACAAGCCTGTGGCAGTGCAGCAGGTAAATTATGATACTTAATAACGAAGCTTAATGAGATTATCTACAAACACATCTTCCAAGCATTGCTTAGCTCTATCTCCTGAAGACTCTACACATTACCTGTCTTCTTGGTATCCTCCCTTCATATCATGACAGATCAGAGTCCTGGGTCTCGGGCTTTCAAGTGGGGGGTGTCTCTTAGCAAGAGGAGTCACAGCAACGTTGAACATGTCCTGTCTGGTGGGTTTCCAGGAGATCACCTCTTCCAGGTTGGAGAGAAAGAAACTGATGGGTTCGGTGGTTTCTCGGTCATGGTGTCTCGCTAGAATGGAGATACGGGTGTTAATACTAGAGAAGACATGACGATGATTGTGATCTGTTTTAACACGTCCTTGGGGGCTGACAACCACTTTAAGTAAAAATGAATGATCATTACCTGACAGTGGGGCAGATTCATATCGTATCATCTCCTTATAAACCTTCATATCTGCTAGTAAAGTAAACCTGTGGGAACAGAATGGAAAAATACAACATGAGCTGAACAACAGAGACAAAGAACAGACTGCAAACAAATCCCATCTTTCTACATCCAGACTGAGAACAGACCGCCTCTAAATTGGTTTATTTTATCCAAATCAGTAGAGGTCTCTAGTAAAAATCTTGACTGGTTTTTGGCAAAGACAGATATTCAAGGCTATAACAGATACTACGCAGGATGTTAACAGAAATCCGACTGCCACTTTGGAGTCCTGAAGGATTTTACGATTTTTTTTAATTATCTGGGTATATTACCTTATTTTGGACAGTTCAAGTGGATGTGGTACCAGACGTTCCCCTTATTTTGGACAGTTATAGTGATTTGTTGCCAGGAGTGCCTTGTTTTTGTCACACGGTAAGTACTTTGGTTTGACAACTTACCTGGATCCCACAGCCATGCCTACAAGCACTGACTTTTATTCTTTGAAGACACGTAACATGGGCACTTAGGAGACCCAGGTAAGTTGTCAAACCATAGTAAACAGTTTGACTACTTATGGTGGGACATCCCAAAGGAACTCCTCTCACCACAACCATTAAAGAGGCCTGTAGTGGTTTCGGTACTTGGAGTATTTTAACATCAGACATGGAAATATGTGAAACGTTAAATTTATTGGACTTGAGATTTTTTTATCCTACATAATATGATGCATTCCCACATGCTATCAACATACACCCATTGTAAAGAACGCTGGTATCTCTTATACCCGTTCGTCGGTTTCCTCCCGAACGGCCAGAGTATGAGAGATTATAACTCGGGAAATAAAGTAAGCGATTCTCCATACAAAATTACAGGATCCAAGTAGATTCTCCAAGTAACGCAGACAGGTACCCAAACATCAGCCAAAGTCTAGATGAAGGGAGTAACAGAACTAAATTTTAATGGTGCAACACAGGCTTTTATGCAAGTCCCCATGCAAGGGGACCTCCCATGTGGACCTTGTGGGGCACAGGAACATAAATAATACAGCCAATAATAATACAGGGGAAAACTGTGACACTCCCAGTACAAACATACAATCCCCTCCTCTCTACCTGGAGATAATGGAGTCTGATAAAGTAATAACTTAATTATCTCCAGACAGAAAAATTACAATTTCCCCAAAACTTAAAATGTACCCTAAGACATACAATATTCCTGCAATAGTCATATCCCCTGATAGTCCTGATCTGGGTGACCAACATATCCAAAAATCACCTAGATCAGTTCAGGGGTTTTCGAATTCCATGGAAGTCTTAAGTGACCGGCCGCACACGAGGCTCCTGCCCAAAACAGTTCCACAAGTTTTGGTGGTTTTGCCGGTGTAGTTCGTAAAGTCTAAAAAACGAATAAATGCACGAACGGCTCCCCCTGGCTCATAGTAGCCATTGTTCCCCTCGTTCGTGGAAACAAAACTACCGAACAGCGCTCTCCCAGCTGTTTGAGAAAAGGAAGCAGGCATTCGTACAGTGGGACTGGTGTTCGTGAAGTCGAGTGTCTGATTTTAGTTCCAGACACTGAACGACCAAGTCCCGCTGCCTCCTTTCGTGCATACAAGATGGCTGCCGTTTTCTCAACCACGTGGTGTTCGGCTATACAAACGGCGGCCACACAGGGAGAGAGCTTTTATGACTGTTCTCTTTGAAGTTAATGAGCCAGGGGGGTGGTCGGTTTTCGGTAGTTACAGCTACCGAATTAAATTACATGAAATAAACGAAATAACTTGGTTATTTCTTCATGTTCCAATAACTATACATTAAACACAAAAACACATTTAAACAGGAATGGTTAGTACCACGACTCCGTGGCACGGCCACACATGTGGAGGTTTCATCGTTTTTGTACACCAATGAGCAAAATTTACTGAAAAACTACACATAGTGCACAGTAACATCTAGTGCAACATTCTGTAAAACACAAAGTGTCAATTCAAGGTTTTCAAATATAATTGACAAAATCATTTTTTCCCCAACTTGTCTATTTTGGCCTAAACGTAGAATTTCTGACAATTCCCGTATAATTCTGAATTTAGCGCATGCGCACCTATTTAATCTTAAACTTTTTATTGTTGAGTTCAAAGCTTCAGAGTCCAAGTAAATATGTCTGATGTATAAAGCAATTATAGTTTACAGTCAGTTTACCAAGCACAGGATTATCACATCTAATGGATATGTAACAAATTACAGCCATACAAACTCCACATCAGGTCTGAACATTATAGCAAATGAAACGGATAGGGGACTTAGACATGTGTCGCTGTCATGCTAGGTGGGAAGAAACAAGACATTGTTCAGCTGGACAGGTGCTATTGACAAAGTCCAAAGAAGTCCAGTTTGGCTAATTTGACTAAGAATTTTAAATTCACTTAAAAACCCTGACAATTCCCATTTTCGTGAACCCTTACGTTAATTTGCCAGTGTTTAACACTACAAACATAAGCAGTGAGTATAATTAGGTGCCTTTTATGGCGTGAAAAGTGTTCAAAATATCTTAGTACTGTTCAATTCTTTGCATTTTCGCCTTATATTTTGTTTGCTGGACAATCGATTTGTTTTACTTTATTTTGGCCAATAAAGTTGGAATTCATGAGAAATTTGGCCAATACGTCACTTCCCTTCTCTCCAGCAGTTTCTTCACGGTACATTCAACACATGAATTGACAACCACAGACGTCAAAAACATATAATCGTCCTTAAAAGCAGCACGATTTAGAAAAATAAATATTTTAGATTAATGGATATTGCATAAGCTGATTTAAAGTGTACATTTCCGCTGCTTTCACATTTACACAATCACAGATACATGGATCCACAAAACATGCTTGTGAAGAATCAGAATTAATTCCATATTTTAAACAAACAAAAAAACCCTCTCCAGTTTTTATTGCTTTCCAGTAAAACTACTTTGGACTAAAATATGCAGTTCCCCTGCGATTCACTGTTTAGTGAATAAATCCCACAGGCACGACTTGATGTGAATAACAGACTGACAAATGGGGAAGCACAGCTTGGATGGTTCTGTAAAGATCGAGCTGTTATAGTAACAATATCTGCTGTAGAAGCTAACTGGGAAGATCTTACCTGTGAATACAGGTAGCACGCTCACACCTGAGTTAGGTTGTCAGCGATCCGATGGAAGCTGAGTTTTGCTCGCTCGCTCGGTTTTCCTTCCTCACGAAGGTTTTTTTTATCATTCTCTCTCTGCGCTGGTATGCATTCAGTAAGAGGATTTTTTTAATCCAACAGACAGAGCGTGGGAGAGAGGAAATGGGGAGGAAAGAGCGTGGGAGGGAGCGAAAGTAAGGAGAGAGGGGTGGAAAATGTAATGGAAGTAACGTACAAAAGAGAAAGGGGAAGGAGAATGATGTGACTATAGGGTGGGGGGAAGACGGGTGAGAGGGGGGATTCAAGGGAAGATTTTAGAGGTGAGAATGAACAAAAACACACAATTTCACAGTTTGCCGACATTCAATGAACAGAATCCCGGCCTGGTTGAAACCATTAGTACTTTAAAAAGGGGTGACATCGGAAATGTAGTAATTACCGCAAATATCACAAATAAAACTGCTGTTATAGAAAGAAAAAAGATCCAACAGGGGTTTATTTACTACTCAGAGATTGGAACGTTTTGGGCTGAATTGTAGATTAATACCAACACAGCCATTTAAGCAAATCGGGTCGTTAGTCACTCACAAGGTTCTGCTGAGTGAATAAACCCATAAATGTAACATTCACCCACTCACAATCCTAAAAGCTTTCCCTGTAGGCAGTTCCCATTAAGAAGCCATTAAGCGTTGTGTCACCTTCACCCCCTTCCTGTTACGGGTCTATTACAGACTATGAACTTTGTCCCCAGATCACAATATATTTGAAATAATCTTCCCCCAGTTACAGTGTATCCCATACAATCTGCCCCCCTGTTACATTGTATCCCATATAATCTCCCCCAATTACAGTATATCCCATATCACCTGCCCCCCAGTTACAGTGTATCCGATATGTATTCTCCCCCAGTTACATTGTATCCCATATAATCTGCCCCCATTTACAGTGTATCCCATATAACCTTCCCCCCAATTACAGTATATCCCATACAATCTGCCCCCCAGTTACAGTGTATCCGATATATATTCTCCCCCAGTTACAGTGTATCCCATATAATCTGCCCCCAATTACAGTGTATCCCATACAATCTGCCCCCCAGTTACAGTGTATCCCATATAATCTCCCCCTGTTACATTGTATCCCATATAATCTCCCCCCCAGTTACATTGTATCCCATATAACCTCCCCCCAGTTACATTGTATCCCATATAATCTCCCCCAGTTACATTGTATCCCATATAATCTCCCCATTACATTGTATTCCATATAATCTCCCCCTGTTACATTTTATCCCATATAATCTCCCCCCCCAGTTACATTGTATCCCATATAATCTCCCCCTGTTACATTGTATCCCATATAACCTCCCCCCTTACATTGTATCCCATATAATCTCCCCTGTTACATTGTATCCCATATAATCTCCCCCTGTTACATTGTATCCAATATAATCTCCCCATGTTACATTGTATCCCATATAATCTCCCCCAGTTACATTGTACCCCATATAACCTCCCCCCTTACATTGTATCCCATATAATCTCCCCTGTTACATTGTATCCCATATAATCTCCCCCAGTTACATTGTATCCCATATAATCTCCCCCTGTTACATTGTATCCCATATAACCTCCCCCCTTACATTGTATCCCATATAATCTCCCCCTGTTACATTGTATCCAATATAATCTCCCCATGTTACATTGTATCCCATATAATCTCCCCCAGTTACAGTGTATCCCATATAATCTCCCCCTGTTACATTGTATCCCATATAATCTCCCCCTGTTACATTGTATCCCTTCCTGTGTATTGATGGCTACCTGCAGTTTATGATCTGTCAGTGCTCACAGCCCAGAGCAGCTCCCACCACATGCTCTGCACTTCCTCCTGCTGGGTCACGTGCGGCTTCCCCTGTAAACCCCGCCCCTTCTTCCTCTAACTGTGAGGCTGGGGGATCACTGGCATGGCATTGCTTTCACTGTGACTCCCATAACCTTCAGCCAGCCAGGACTTGGGAGCTGCTTCATACAGCACTAATTACCCCTTCCTGCTGAACTGGGAACTTACTGAATAAAATATTCCACATCACCAATAACTTGGGTTAACCTTTTTCATGAAACCCTCTGTTTTCTCAAATTTATATTAATTTATATTAAAGATTTAGCAAATGACACCATTATCCAGGTCACATGGGACCCATTGGGGTATATTTATATATCTATCACAGGCACTCTATAGTCTGCTTTTGACACTGTTACTATTTGTACCAATTTTTTCCATTATTTGGGGTAAAATATTTTTTTCTTTTTGTGTTTAGAAATGTGTCGTTCTCAATGTACGACGAAAGAGTTGAAAAAGTCCACTTTTTTTTAAACACTTTTTTTTTTTGCCACTGTGAATGTGAGTGGTGGGTGTTTGGTAATAGGCTCACAGTCTTCCTTTTTATAAATCCTTCAAATTGCAAATTAACCTTTTTCCCCCTTTTTCCCCCTTAGTGATATTATTAATTTGTGTTATTTTGTGGAGGAAGTCAATAGTAAAATTGTCAGGAAGAAAAGGGGGCAAAAACCCCAAATGATTGTGAAAGTGAGTACGTAACATTTTAGTTTTTGTTTTGTAGAGCAGTGATTATCCTGATCTCAGTTTAACCCAGCGAATAATTAGTTGGAATTAGAAGAGGGCCCGTCTTTGGGAATGCAATCAGAGCGCTCTAACAAATAAGCGTTTCCTATTGAACTTTCGATTATTTATATCATAGGGGTTTTTGCCCTTTCTAAAGGTACTTGCAAGCCAGGATTCCTAATAATCCTGATTTCATCTTGTCCACCACCATCCTTACTTTGTTCCCTGGTTTCTGGGTTTTGGGTAGACTTAATCCACAAAGTGCGGTTCAAGGCCTGATTACCAAAGGGGCTAATGGATCTATTATTCTTCACATGCTCTTGCTTTGTGTAGAGGGCATTAAATATGGAAACTTGCGAGGGATTTAGTGGAACAAACCGTGCGTGGACTGGCTGACTGTAAATGAGTTATGGTTAATTTGTGCACTGTGTTAATGATCTTGTTGCTTTGGCCTCGCTAACAGTGTAGCATTTCCCCTTTCTGCTACACTTACCACATCCACCTTTTCTCTGTCTCATACTGTAAAAGGAGCTTTTGCCTGCTAGTAAGTAGGTTAGGAGAGGCGTGGACAAGTGAGTGCTGGGGGACAGCCCCCAAAAAGCACAGAGTGAGCGAATCGTTAGACGCAGAGCGCTGTCTGCACAGTATGCCCTTAGTAGGCCAGCCTGTATGATGGGCGGGCAGTCTGACATGCAATCGCGCCAGGCTGACCATCCAATTCTTTAGGCAGACCCGCCCCCTATATTGGCATGTCTGCCCGCTTGGTGGTCCCGGTTATGTGATTCACGCCAGTGGCCCACCCTTTTTACCCCTCACACTAATGTCGTGATTCACTGCTGTTATGGGGTATGGGTTTGGTTGAAAGACGAAAGTGAGAGATTAGCATAGGGGGCCTGTATAGTCTTATAGTTATATCCTGTGAGTTTTCCTCCACCAGCTACAGGACCTTGGGAGATATGACTGTTACAGTGTTTTCAATCAATAAGATTCTGTAATTCGGCCCATCGTAACTGTCAGCAACAGGCCCAAGGGGCTCTTAATCACGCCCGGCTGCTGAGGCCCGCAGAATTAGTGGAAACATTTATGCTGGGGGCTCTGCTTTGGAGTGTCAAAATCAACAACAACAAAAAAAAATAACTAAAAAAACAAACAAACAGAAAATGTTTAATGTAAAATGTTGCCTATCAAGTTATGTGTAGAGAATACTTTACTTACTATGTAACAAAGTACTCAATGCACTGGTTATTAAACAGATAGTTATTTTGTATACTTTATGTTACCGTGTTGGTTTTTACAGATCTAAATGTCAGAACTTGAAGCATCTAGAGCAGGGGTCCCCCTAAGAGGCTAATCCACAGACGTCGTAGAATTATCACTTCCATGATGCTTTGTCATTATAAAGCATTCGTAAGGCGTGCAAAGCATCATGGGAGTTGTAGTTCTACAACACCTGGGGTCTACCTTTTGGGCACCCCTGATCTAGAGTTTTAGAAATTGTGGAATGACATGCTCATCATTTTGGAACAGAGATGCTGCAATCACTCCGAGACGACATGCTGGTAACTTTATCTTTTGATCGATAACTTTGCAGGCATTTTTCTAACTTGGATGATAGGTTAAATGGAATTACAAGTTTAAAAAAGTTATAAAAAGACTTTGGTTGTTCGGGAAGTTGTGACAGAGATCACCAAGTGGAATTCCTCAGGTGATATATCATATTGCCGGTCAGACGTGCCATATTGCCATTCATTTGAATGTCACTACCCAGAATCCATAGCGGACTTAAAATCCAAATATACTGAGGACTTCCTCATAATTGGGACAAGTGTTCATCCCATTTAAAAGGTGTGAATTTCAGCATCCTCCCACTTATTTGGTATGTCTCCACCTTTCACTCTCTTTACACTATTTCAGTCATTTCACACATGCTAAATAGTCGTCATCTTAGAAGGTTGGGGCTGCCAGTCTGAGATACAAGGAATAGAGAAAACAAGCCCATTTATCCATTTCAACCATTCGTACTGGGATTTCTTGCCGTTGCTTAGAAACACTAAATGGCACAAACTTGGCTTATTTACTAAAAAGGGAATTGTTGGAAATTAAACGGACCATGGAATTTCAAATATCCAAAATGGTAAAAAAAGGCTCCAATGCAGCTATTTTCCCAGCTTGGATGTTATGGCCTTAAAATGTCCATTTCCCTTATGATTGCTTGGTTTAGTGATAACGCTAATGATCTCAAAGCAATTGTGTAGGATACGACATTACAAATGTATTATAGAATAAGGAGTCATACGACACACAGTGTAACAGACTCAAAAAAACTTTATTAAACTTTACACCCTGTAATGGCACCTGGACACTATTTACTTATCTCGCACAGTGCCTGTTTAAATCAAGATGGGGCTATTCACTAAGAGCTGAATTTGGTCCGCAGAATTTCAAAATAATTTCACAATAACAGAATTGCAATTTTAGCATTTAGTAAAGGCGTTATTTTATCCGAGTGACCATATCTCATTCCGTACCATCGTTGATTTTCACATGATAGTCTGATATAAAAAAATAGGATTCTCACATTTATCAAACACTGGGGTTTTTTTTAAACCTGGATTCCTTTTGAACAAATATGGTCGAAGGGAAATTCACACGATAAATTCACCTGCCTTTTGCAGGCGAAACTACAGAAATCCACAATATTTCCCCACTTACTGCCCAAACATTCTTAGAATGTTAAAAAAAATATTATTAATAATATTCATTTAATTTATCAAAGTAGTCAATTATTCATATAATATAAACATTATGTTTTAATTATTGGGTTATAATGTACCCCTCAATGGAGTCAACCCCTTCTCCCTAGTAGTAAGTTATCTAAATGGAACTTATGACAGATTTTTGTAATGTATTGTTTTGAATTAGAATTGACCACACAAAGAAATGCAGTTATCCTTCAACATATCAGAATGGTATAATTTTACAAACGCGTTTTAAGTGATGACTAGGTCTGCAGACCATTTCAAAAACCATTTTAAGATTTTGGACAGGTGGTACTTTTTAATCTTTGCTAAGATTTTAAATGCTTTCCCATGCAAGTCGGAGAGATGTTGGAGGAATAGTGACGTAGGAAATATCTTTCATGTTTTTTTCACCTTCTTTATTTTATGTTTTTATAAAGAAAAGCACATGACGCAGATATTCAGCCACTCGCAGGTGGATTAAACACGGGCTAAGAGTTAAGCACAATTAAACAAGCACAATTATTTTGTTTTCTTTATATTCTATAGAAATATATTTAATCTTTACTACAAATATTTGACCCTAATGTTATGACTCCTTCCCCCCTGTTGGGCCCATTTAACCCCTTAAGGACACATGACATGTGTGACATGTCATGATTCCCTTTTATTCCAGAAGTTTGGTCCTTAAGGGGTGTGATGGTAGTCACCATCACTGGGGATGGAAGACAGACACTATGGGTGGGCTCCCAAATTCCATTTGTGTTTTGTCACATTGTGCCTATTATTTGTGCAGGGTATGTTGAATGTATTGCTGGTCTGTGCATCTCCCCCTCCCCACTTTTTCCTGTCCTGTTTCCCCAGCAGGGCGTTGTCCCAGGGCGGATCCCAGAGCAAAGCACGGCTAACCTCAGCCCTTTGCCGCAAGCAGTGGGGGATCTCTATCCAGTACAAATAAATGGGACTCTGGTCTCTACCTGTAGTCCACAGGAAGGCTGGACAATGAGCTCTGATCCCCAACCCCATGTCAGAGGGGGCCCAGCCACCCTGACTTCCCTCCAGTGGCTGAGAGAGATCCAGGGAGACAGGAGAGTGGGTACGTATCGCCAGGTATATGCTTTAGCAGATGCAGAAGTTGGCTGGGTAAGTACTGCTCTTTCATGGGCAATTTGTTTGGGGTACCATTTCGGTGATGGCCTTGATGATCTGGATGCAGTCACTAACTTCAGAGTCAACTCGTCTGGGGTCTCCTGTATTGGTATCCTTCTGAAGGGGGAGAAATATGCTGGAAATTATTCTGAGCTATCGATACAGGGTTCCAGAATTGCTTTTGGGGTCTATTGGGGTCACAGTGGCCCCCTAAGAGTGGAGTGATATGGGGATAGGTTTGAGTTTGGGAAGGGGGCCATGGCAGATTCACTGGGAACTCCCTTTCTCAACTTCCAAGTCCCCTCTTATGTCTAAGTCACCCTGTGCTTATTAGAGGCACAGGATGACCGAGAAGCCCAGTCTGGCCTGCCCAAACCAGACTTCCACAGACTGATCGGCTATGAGGGCTCCATGCTCCCGATCGGGACAAACTTACAAACTATGTGGAACTTTGTCGAGAAGGCTGCTAGGATGGATGGACTTTTTGGGACTTATTACCCGACTAACTCAGGCACAGACCGATTGGAGGTCTGGTACCTGGTTAGTCTACCTTTGGGGGGGAGATATGTCATGGTAGTCACCATCACTGGGGATGGAAGACAGACACTATGGGTGGGCTCCCAAATTCCTTTTGTGTTTTGTCACATTGTGCCTATTATTTGTGCAGGGTATGTTAAATGTATTGCTGGTCTGTGCATCTCCCCCTCCCCACTTTTTCCTGTCCTATTGTTTCCCAAGCAGGGCATTGTCCCAGGGACACTGCCAGACCAGTTTAATCTAGCTGCTCTGTCCCTCCTCAATCTCCCATCAGCCCTTGCTATTGTCTGACCCCACCCTTCCTGGTACTATAGTAATCTATGTACCCTATTGTATGTAAATGAGGCTGTTGGGGGCTTAAACTATGTGTGCTGTATTCATTAAAGAGTTGCTGTTTAACCTTCACCATGTGTCGTCTGGTGGTTGGTCCAGGGTGGAAAAGGCCCTAAATGATCCCAGTCAAGCCTCTGCATCTGGGTCTGAAGTGTTTCAGGGTCCCTGATAGCTACAAGGAAGCACACTTGGCGGAGGTACTCGGTCGGAGTACTGGAGCTTCGTTACAAGGGGTTAAGCTAACTCCAATGATATTGTATAGGAGTGAGAAAATTGTAGTATCTCATACATTAATTGCGACTACCTCGTTTACACCAAGGCATTGGAAATCTCCAAATATTTTGATGAAAAAATACATTGTATTTCTGATTGCTGAAAATAAGGGTTACATATTGGTAATAAGACAATCGTCTGCACAATTGGGTCAAAAATGGGACTCTTGGGAGAAAAGTGTAAAAGAAGAATATATTGTCTAATAAGTAATATGTATACATTTTTGTTAAACTTATAATATGTGTATCTTATACGGTCAAGTATTGTGAAATTATTTATGAGAAATTATGTTATTTTATGTCTAATAGGATTCACTTTTGATAAGGTACAATTAATAATTGTAACCACGCCCGGCAGGTACGATCACATGACCGTGCCCAATTGGCAGGGCTACCTAAAATAAACTTACCTGACTAATGGCGCTACCTGATCTGTTCACATTGCAGTCCCTGGCCAGAATGGCGTTATGAAGGACGCCAGCTGCTTCACTTCCACAAAGGATTATCATCCCGTCCCCAATCATTACATAAATGACGTGAACTTGCGTGTCATCAAATCATCGACGCGTATGCATGTTTTGGGGTCACATGTCAATTCTGACCAATCATTGCCTTCCTAAGGTTATGTAAACCCCAAAATGCCTTTTGTCAGTGCCCCGTCGTGGTTTCCACCTGTGGGTTATCAGAGAGTGTGTTTTAACTGTGAAGTGACGCAGTTCCAAATAATTATTGTCCCTTAAGCAAATAAAAGAGGGTAAAAACTATTTAATCAGAAGCTGTTGTTAAAAATTTGAACACTGATAAATCTTGTGATCGAAGTCCAGATGTCCAAATGTCTGATGCCCCTGGGTGGTACCTGGGTACATTTCACAATCTGGACCTCGGCTTTCAAACTTTATTGAATAAACTCCAATGTATCTCACATTTAATTCTATCAATACAGACGAAGAGTATTCTTTTTGTATAGTGGGGTGTAGACATTCTGATGGCCAAGCCAAAGAATTAAATGGCTAACTCACCTTCACAGCGTTCCACCCTCTGAATTAACACATTGAAGGAACTCTAATACAAACATGTACACCTACCTAACACTATTGTGTACTGTATCAGTTTATGTGTCCGCCACCAACCTGGCTCTCCGAGTGCATGAAAAATGCTGTTTTACTGACCTTTTCCCCATCCCTACACTGATCTGTCTGTAGTGGTCCAAACTCCTTGGCTGAGGTTATCAATGTTAATGATGTCAGCCAATCCATTGCTTCCCCATAGAGAAACATTAAGAGGCTTGTGCGCATGTGCGGCATGTTGCACCAATAGTCAAGCTCTCCTCTAGAAGCAGAAATTGATTGAAAACAGGGTTTGTGTGTTAACCTTTCAAAGGAAACATCGCAGTTTCTACAAAAAAAAAGTTTTACATGTCGAGGTTAAAACCCCAGGGCCCGAACTCAGACATACCACCACAGGGCCATGCTATACCACACAGAACACCCGTCCCATCCCCACGGTCCTAACCTTCACAAGGCACAAGAGACACCATCATGCCCAAGCGGAGAGGAGGAGGGAGGACACCCAAGATCTCCCCCCCCTACACAACCACACGCCACCTCCGCACCCCCGACGTGCACATTGTCCCATGGGTCGAGACACGAACCTGCCCTGAACCAACACTGAACCCCGACCGTGGACATGGAAGGATGAGACCGGGATCTGGGGTGAATGAGACCGGACTCCAGGACCAGGGCACCACCCTAGATAAGTGGAAGCTGACACTACCTATAGAAGCCCACCAAACGAGTCCCCCACCGATCGGGACCATAAACCATCGCCCCCAAACTACTAAACCAACACCACCAGCGGCACACGCACAAGAACACATCCCCCACACTCACAACCTCACGAAGACATACAGATAGCCCGACTGACCCCAACCCGGAGACAGCCTCAAACCGAGAGAAATAACACAAGGGCGCCACGGCACGGGTTCTGAACACAGACGCTCATACAAGGCAACCAATGGGGACAGACCGCCTTATCCCGCTACAAAATCTGACCTAGATACATTATATAGCACTCTAACATCGGCTAACCAATTCCTTACGGAAGACACGCAATGGCATTCACTGTGCAATATATCGTAAAACAATATCACCATAGTCGCTACGCCCTATGAGACCACATACCCAATCTGCTTAAGAAAGGCACAATACAAAACAAGATGCCGGCCTCAAAAAAAACCACAGGGACCATGTGTTATAAGCCTCTGCGTAGGCTACTGCTGTAAAACTACTGATGACACAACCCTGCATCCCAAACCATTTACTAAGTATACAACACTACCCCTGCGTGGGTAAACTGCTCTCTATCAGAGGTTACGAAATGCCCATCATTACCCAGGTCGGAACGACTACGAAATATGTAATTAGCCTTACTCTTGTTTGTTTGACGTCATCTGCCTCTGTGTAGGCAACAATGCACCCTCTTTTCAAATCTGTTGTATGTCTGCTAACATGTTGCATACTTAATAAAAAAATAAAAAAACACACATTTTCCCACAGAAAGCATTGCATTTACCAGCCCCCATCCTGATCAGATTAAGATGCATGAAAAAAAAAAAAAAAAAAAACCCCAGGGCCACTGCACCCAGATGTGGGTGACTTTAATGATTCCTAAACTTCCACAAGCCAGCATGATAAAGAGATTCACAATTAGCAGTATCAGAACTCTGTAAACATGACATTTGGAGTTTTCCGATGTTGCTTTTGTTAACAGTGGGAGAGGAAATATTTTATTGTGGAAAAAAAATAAAGCTTCTGAAATTCATTGACATTGACTGTCCCTAAATTTAATTTCCTAGTGCCGCTTATGTCCCTTTTTCTGCTTTTATCCAAGTAATAAAAACCAGCTGTTTTTTTCTTCCACGGACCAATATAAATCCAGATGCCAAAAAGCAATGCAACATGTGGTGTTTACGAGACACCCACGGATTTAAGGGGAGTGGGAAGGAGTCTGAGAATGAAGAAGATACATTTATATGTAAATATTGATATGTACAGCTCATACCTCCGTAAATTCGGCAAGTCCTGATCTAGTGACCCATGTCCCGCTGTCCTGGGTTTTACATCTGGTGCCCTTATATTGAGGGGGATCTGAGAAAGTCCCCAAAAAGTTCAGCGTATCATTAAACAGCCACAGTCAAGGCCATTTCAGGGCATAAACGCAGAACAGAGAGCTATCCCAGGAGGCAGTGGATTCATGAACTACAGAGGCCTGTAAAAGGGCAGTAAACCAAATTATGTTTAGCCCAAAGATCATCATTTGCTTCATTCTTTAGGAATTTTGACTTCTGAGCAGATTCTCATTAAGAATCGTTGTTGGATCACTCTCGGCACATCTTCCTTCTTCATCCCCAGTTCAATAAATAATGTATCTTAGCAACAACAAGTATTTAAGGTTTGCAGTTTATTAGAAACATATATTTATACAAAATACTTTTACGATTTGATGCACAATCAGCTGCAGATAGACAGAGAGGATGTTTGCACTTTGCAAATAGTTTAAACTGCGCCGATTGACCTTGGAATAACCAGTCGAACATTAGCCAGGTGACATCATGATTCCGCAGCCTGATGGTTTACAGATGTGGTGCTCTGCATTATGGGACTGCTGTGATACCGACAGAAGGGAGCTGGTTGGGGGCCAGTGCTAAGCAAGGTCTGGAACAGCTACTGCGGACTAGCATTCCAATGATGATTAGCCAGAGTTCACAGAGCTGGAGTACCAGTACTTGACTTTTGTAAGGATAGAACCAAGAATCCCACGCATTTAATAATATTTTGTTTCTTTAATGACTTTTTTATTCCCATTTATGAATTTTCAATGACCCCCAGCACAATACAACATGGCGTCACCCATTGCTACCAATCTGGATGACAGCAAGCTAGAATGCTGGGTGTTGGTCTTAATTGTTTTATTTTTAGTCTAGTTTTAGTCAACTAAATCTCCAGCAGATTTTAGTCAACACAACTAAACTCTAATGGGTTTAGTTAAAGCCTATCTGTCTCTTTTGCCCCCTTTCCCAGCCCCTCTGTGTCTCTTTGGGTCCTCCCAGCCCCTCTAATTGTCTCTCTCCCAAGCTCTGGTCTGTCTCTTTTGCCCCTTCCACAGCCCCTCTGTGTCTCTTTGTGTCCTCCCAGCCCCTCTAGGTGTCTCTCTCCCAGTACTTGGTCTGTCTCTTTTGCCCCTTCCACAGCCCTCTGTGTCTCTTTGTATCCTCCCAGCCCCTCTAATTGTCTCTCTCCCAAGCTCTGGTCTGTCTCTTTTGCCCCTTCCACAGCCCCTCTGTGTCTCTTTATGTCCTCCCAGCCCCTCTAGGTGTCTCTCTCCCAATCCTTGGTCTGTCTCTTTTGCCCCTTCCACAGCCCCTCTGTTCTTTTTTTATTTTTGGTGTCAAATTTCAATTTTTATTTTTAGTCATAGTCTTTTGACTAAAAAGCCATTATAGTTTTAGTCGTATATTAACCATCTGAATTATTTTACTTTTATTCTAGTTATAGTCGACTAAATCTCGAAACGTTTAGTCGACTAAAATTTGACTAAAATTAAAACTGGGAGCTGGGAGTGGGACATTTCAAAGTGGGAGATTAAATCAAAAATGTGCAATCCTGTGATTCCTGTTTTAACTCACAAATTCCAGGCATGAATTATGTTATAACATTTCAATGGGAAAAAAAAATTGAGAGCTACCTGGTGTTCCAGAACTATTGCTAGAATGATTGTACTAGACAGTCCAACTTTACTTCGTAAATCAGATAATAAAGGCCATGTGACACAGAGGACCCCAACCCAGTTTTGTCAGTTTCCTAATATGAACAGGATTGGAAAATGCCTAAATCCTGCAATGTGCCTTCAGAACTTGGGACCCACTATGCTAGAGAACAACCCTCAATAAGTTTGATCAGACAATCCTTAGAATTAAAAGGATGGAGAATTTAAAGTGATTTCACTGGTATCGGATAAATGCAAAGTGGTCTGTCTAATCTGTCAACTATGTTTCTATAGATTCTTGATTATTGATTTACTACTGCTAGTTTATTTAAAAATTCTTCATCTCAGCCTTCCTTGAAAAGCTATAGTTCTGTTTAAAATATAAAACTATTCTATTCTTTGCCCCGCCCTCCCCCGCTTTCTTTTAAATATATTTCTCTCTTATACTTCGTTATATCCTTAAAGGATATTGAGTCACTTCCCTCTCCTTTCTTACAAGTTGGCCATAATATGGGGAAACATTTTAAATGCAATGAAATCCAGTAATTTTGCAGTGAAATAGAACCATTATATGTATATCATTAAAGGACCACTCTAGGCACCCAGACCACTTCAGCTTAATGAAGTGGTCTGGGTGCCAGGTCCTTCTAGGGTTAACCCATTTTTTTATAAACTATGTTTATGAATGGGTTAAGCCTTCCCCCTGTTTCCTCTAGTGGCTGTCTCATTGACAGCCACTAGAGGCGCTTGCGTGCTTCTCACTGTGATTTTCACAGTGAGAGCACGCAAGCGTCCATAGAAAAGCATTGTAAATGCTTTCCTATGCGACGGGCTGAATGCGCGCGCAGCTCTTGCCGCGCGTGCGCATTCAGCCCAGGAGGAGGATCGGAGGAGGAGAGGAGGCAGAGAGCTCCCCGCCCAGCGCTGGAAAAAGGTAAGTTTTAACCCCTTTCCAGAGCCGGGCGGGAGGGGGTCCCTGAGGGTGGGGGCATCCTCAGGGCACTATAGTGCCAGGAAAACGAGTATGTTTTCCTGGCACTATAGTGGTCCTTTAACCACACTCCAGGAATACCCAAATTGTATCTTGCAAAGTTCTTATCTTGTGAGACACTCTGATTGACCAGTAATGGTGTAATGAAAGGTTTGATGGACATCTAGGCCAGAAACATTGTTAACTTGATAAGAGAAAGACTACACAGCAAAACAAGAGATGGGGAAAGAGAAAGAAAGGTCTAGTATGAATGTTTCGTACCATATGGAACGCGTGTTTTTGAACAGCAGTAAATAGAAGGAATGGTTCGTAATATGTAACAGAAGGAATGTCTGGAAACCTAGCACAATATGGAAAATGCTTAGTGTGTTTGGTATAAATTATAAAAATGGGGAGAAGAGACACAAGATCCTTTAAAAGAAGAATGGGTCTCCAAAAACTCATCTTCAGAAACATATGGATGCAAAAGGGTGGTATAGTCATCTTAATGAAAGCTAATTAGTACTATGGCACCCAAGAGGGCACATTAACAGTTTGGAACAGGGTAAGGATTGTGATCATGACACCATGGAGTTGAGTATCTGTTATTCTTTGGTCAATGTCTTTAGATTTAAGTCTCTGCCTTTGCTTTGATAAGATAGCCATTGAAAGTCACATAAGTGTCAAAGTCATCGCTGAACACAGCATTTTCACGCTCTCCTTTAAAAAGTCTAACCCAGACCTCGTCTTGTTCCTCCAGTTCCAACATCAGGCTCTGACTCTGCATGATGCTCCGGTCACTGGGCTGGGCATATAGAATAACCACTTCCTTGTCATTCTTCATGACGTGCAGGTATGTCTCTTTTTGGTTCCACGTGTGCACGTTCAGGTTGAAGAAATAAACTCCAGGGACGTAGCAGAAAAACTTGCCACTGAACATGTTAAAATGATCGTACAGATTCACAAGCTCCGTATCAAAGATAAGAGGTTGGTAATAATCGTTGCTATGGAGAGACTTCTTTCGACCAACAGAAAAGGCAGAGTAGTAACTCTTGCAAGAGTTTCCGGGAGCCCCAATGTCCCCTTTAAAGCCTCTGGGACCGACAGGGCCTCGTTGTCCTGCATTTCCTGCTTTGCCCGATTTTCCTGGAGGTCCTTTGGGACCGATATCACCTCTGTCTCCTAATATGGATGAAAAATAATCATTGTCATTTTCGTACCTTAAATGTGGTACATTTAATTACTCACACTAAAGACAGCCATTAGAAATGGAAAGTCGTTACGGCATGGGACAAAAATAATATATATTACTTATACAAGCTCTCCTCTTTAAAGGACCACTATAGTGGCAGGAAAACATACTCGTTTTCCTGTCACTATAGTGCCCTGAGAGTGCCCTCACCCTCAGGGTCCCCCTCCCACCCGGCTATGGGGAGAGGAAGGGGTTAAAATCTTACCTTTATTCCAGCACTGGGCGGGGAGCTCTCCTCCTCCTCTCCTCCTCTTCGGCTGAATGCGCATGTACGGCAGGAGCTGCGCGCGCATTCAGCTGGTCTCATAGGAAAGCATTTACAATGCTTTCCTATGGACACTTGCGTCTTCTCACTGTGAAAATCACAGTGAGAAGCACGCAAACGCCTCTAGCGGCTGTCAATGAGTCAGCCACTAGAGGCTTTGGAGGCTGGATTTAACCCATTTATAAACATAGCAGTTTCTCTGAAACTGCTATGTTTATAAAAAAAAGGGTTAATCCTAGAGGGACCTGGCACCCAGACCACTTCATTAAGCTGAAGTGGTCTGGGTGCCTAGAGTGGTCCTTTAAGGCAAAAATTGATATTTTTGAAGGATGACATTTTACCCCAAATTTAGTTAAGTAAATATTTACCAACTGCTTTTTTATTTCCCGCAGTGGGCAGGCTGATTAATATCTCTCTCGATATTTTTTTTTTTCCATTTCTATGTCTCAGACTTTGATGAATTCATGTTCACAATATAGTTCCAATACCTCCAAGCTCCCCCCCACCCCTCCCAACATGTTCAATGAAACTTACCAGTTTTGCACAGTTTGCAATGTTTGCAGATTATTCATTCGCAATATATGCATTGTGCCCTTGAAGGTCAGTTGCACTTGTGCATGCAACAATGTAACATGCACCTTGTTCACGCATTGAGCTAACTTTCAGCACAGTAGAAGACATGCGCGGTGATGCACTGGAAAACCAGATCAGATTTCCTTTTTAGTACCAGAGAAATGTGTGGAAAATTCACTGCTACAAAACTATTTGTCACAATGGGTCCATAACCATGAATGATCAATTTCCAAATTAAATTGTATATAAAATACAGTGACCCTGATTGTACAGACTATACACCCAGGCTCTACACTCCTTGAGAACCTGATTGACCTGACTGTACGCTCCTTGAGACCCTGATACACCAGAATATATTCTCTGTGAGACAGTTTGACACCCTCTTCGGTTAGATTTTACACTGTTTGGGCCCCCAGTGTCCAAACTCTTTTCTTGTCAGTCTCCCGCACACTGCTTTTAAACAATGTTTACCTTTTAAAATGGTGATATTGACCTGGGGTATAGGCTGATACATGACATATGCTTGGGATGCTGGCGGTGGGTCACAGCATCGCACACATTGTGATGGAGCGTCCGTAGGGGCGCTGACCGTGCTCTGTGTAAAACTGCAAATGACAGAACAAACAAAGGTTAAATGGCTCACTGTTCTCAAGCAGTTATATATCAATAATGTGACATTGTGCCCGTACTGGAGGTGAAATTAGTATGTTTAACAATGATCTATGGATGGTTCTTTCTGAAGAACACTAGCATTCACAATAGAATTCCTGTCCTAATGTGTTTTACACCCCACCTCCTATAGAATGTAAGCTCGATTGAGCAGGGTCCTCTTCAACATATTGTTCCCGTAAGTTTATTTGTAATTGTCCTATTTATAGTTAAATCCCCCTCTCATAATATTGTAAAGTGCTATGGAATCTGTTGGTGCTATATAAATGGCAATAATAATAATAATAATAATAATAATTCTTTGTCTCCAGAGAAGGAGAAGAATATTCTTCATTCTAACTACCCCCTCCTTGTACATTATAATTTAATCATTTTATATTATTTAATAGCATTCACTCATGCACTATGGCTCATCTTGGGTCAATAAGCCAGCTGGACTCATTGTGGTTCTCCAGCACCTGTGACCCACTATCTCCAGGTTAATCGTGCAAGTCTGCTAGATATATGAATGTCATGGCTGAATGGTTGACGAGTCTCGGATAGAACACCAAAAATCAGGGGGTGCCAATAAGGTATATCCTCAACTGTTTAGTCCTAGAGCTTCCAGGATGCTTTAACTTTTAAAAGGATGGCAAAAATTGGCGTAGAAACCAAAGGAAATATAAGGGGGAACACTATCTGTCATAAAAACTAGGAGACCTATAGTGATCATGTGTTAAAACTAGACACAAAATAATACACCATCACTTGAGAGGCTGTTACTAGAATATTTTTAATCTATTTAAGCATATATATATTTAAAGTGTGATTGACTTTGGAGTTACATTGTGTTGTTTAAGTGTTCCCTTTATCTTTTTGAGCAGTGTATATTTATTTGTATATTATGTATTTATTAAATATATAATATATAAATATAGATGTATTTATTTATTTGTTAAAGCTCTCCCTGGTTTTTCCTTATTGCTCACTTCATACTTGTCTGTCAACATTTAGTGACTGTCCATGGTGTCTGTCAACCATCAATCTCTTATTTTTTTCCCAGCTCAGAGTTTGTGAATTCAAACTATCACCGAATCGGCCCAAATTCGGACAAATTGTAATTCATAACAAAACAAATCTCCAAGTCTTCCCGTTGTGACGGGGGAGGGGGATCTTCCGTTTTCATCCCAATAACTAGATTATCTGAGGGATTTATCACCCAAATCCTCTCCCTTGTTTCCTACATCCGTGCTAGCGAAGGATCATGGGAATTAAAGTCCAAAAACATAGGGGACAACATCAAAACATGTATCTCAGTAGTGTTACAACCTTTCCGTTCTAGGCTTGTCCCGGTTTGTGGCGTCCTTATCTTCCAGTATTTTGGTAGAGAAGGAATGAAGGTTCTGTGCCAGTAACGTTATAACGCAGGAGAAGGTCAGGAACACACAACCATAATTAACCGCCATCCTGTGTAAAACAAAACATGTCTGTAAATCTGCATACACACAAACATATTTTATATAGGACGATGTCCAAGGTCCATAAAACACCTGCAAAATAAATAAATAAATAACTTCACAATTTAAAATGCTGACTTTGTATTAGCATCAATATCCAGGCAACAGAATTATTGCAGCTCCAGTTACCATAGAAACCAGTAAAACAATGAACAACTTGATCTATTCTACCCGTTTATGAATTTCACTCACATTTTACCGAACTGTTTTTCTGGATATCATCATGCAGATGTCAGTCACAATTTGATTTTTTTTATATTGCCAGTCCTAACTGCTTCAGCTGAAAGACTGCTCCAGGTAATCACTACTCTGACTGTATCATATCTGGAATTTCGTAACACTCTCAGTCCTCGTCCCCCAAATCTCACATCGTGCCCCCTTATACTGGCCTATCAGATTAGTATGCAAACGCTATTCATAAACCTTATTACATGCATTTTAGGAGTCAGTTTTTTTTAGTTTTTTTTTTTATCCACAGCCTGTGTTTGTCTTATGTAAAACCCAATGTTCCATATTTATCAAAGCAAGACAGGTGCAATTCTGAGCCGAAGAACTAAGTTTCCTTCGCTTCAATGGCGATTGTTCTTCGTGTTAGACTAGCTCCTGTTTTCCAATGATAAATACGGCCTAGAGAGGATTAATCGTAATAATCAACTCTGGTCAGCTCCAATAGTGGGGCAATCACCATGGAAACCGGAGCATTGCTACAATTCCTCTCCATCTCGTGCTTCACCCAATATCTTTTTTTTTTTTTTTTAACCTCCAAACAAAGATCAGTTGCGGAAAAAAATAAATCAAGAATCCGTAGACATTATTTTCAGTGAACGAGTAGGATTCCCCCAAATTTATATTTGTCTCAGCCATTCTCCGAGTCTTGTTTTCAATCGGTCTGTAGTTACAAAATCGAGCTGGCGATAATTTCTTGATGAGGAATGGTCAAGCCCTTTGCTGTTTTCACTCAACACAAAACATGTTGGTCACATTTGATTGGACACATGTCCAGCAGAAATTCTGACAAAACATCTGCCCATCGCTATCATTGACCCTAGTTACTAAGTCTTGGAAACAACGTAATCGACCATTTTAGCAACATAATTATTTTCAGAATTTAGGGAAAAAATGTTGTAACTAAATTGAGCAATGAAACCATTCTTTTTCCTTTACCGAAACAACGTCAACAAAGAGGCATTAAACAGATTGGATCATTACCAGACAAAACTCAGTATGATCTTTCAAACGGCACAAAGTGGTTCATCTTTAAATAGATTTCTTCAAAGAAATAAACAGAATGTTATTTCAGGACAAAACTTGAATCAATTATAGCGTCTTAATTGGTCCCAGAGAGCAGAGGGTTGCTAGGTTCTATCTAGTAGGGAAAGAAATAGACGATAATTCATAGAATGCACAATCTATGAATGGTTAAATTAATAAGGCCCTGTCACTAAAAATATCCATCAATAAAACATGAGAAAAATTCAATATTTTAAGTATTTCAGAGATTTGTAAGACATTTGAAATAGATGAAACCCACAGGTGCCCTGCGTGGGCTGCATGAGCGTCTTTGGGGCACAGTGTGTTGCTAAAACTTAAAGATTACTCTAAGTATCATGAGAAGTTCAGTGTTTTGAAGTGGTCATGGTGCCTGGAGTCTGTATGTGCGGTGGTTTTGTACAACAGAAATTAACCCCAGTAACTCCACCCAGTGCTGGCGCGTCCATAAGGCGGCACAGGCGGCTGCCTTAGGGCACACTGGCTCTGGGGGCGCAAAATTCCAGTGACCAGCAGGAGGGAAGTGCTCCCTCCTACCAGGCCACTTTCTGGATCCCTGGCGTGGCTGAATTGAAATCCGACTATCCAAGGCGGCAAGGGAGCTCTGATCTCTCTGCTCTGCTCCCTCGCCCGCCTTTTATTGATGCCGGGAGCCGGAATATGACTCATGATATTAAATGTATGCTTACTAATGTAAGGAGCCTAAATAACAAAATGAGGGAACTAGAGGCATTAGCATACACTAAACAATATGATATAATAGGCATAACTGAAACATGGTGGGATGAGACACATGACTGGGCAGTTAACTTAAATGGGTACATGTTATTTAGGAAGGATAGGAAAAACAAGAAGGGTGGTGGGGTATGTTTGTATGTCAAACATGATTTAAAGCCAAATCTTAAGCAAATGGAATGCGATGAGGATAATGTGGAAGCTTTATGGGTAAATATCTGCCTGGGGCAAAAGAAGGGAAACCAACTATTGGTTGGGATATGTTATAAACCACCTAATGTTAATATTGACGAGGAACAACAGCTGTTTGAGCAAATTGAGAAAGCTGCAAATCTGGGTAACACTTTAATTATTGGAGATTTTAATTACCAGGATATAAATTGGGACAGAGGGACTAGTAGCTCAGCAAAGGGAATTAGGTTTTTAAACTTGTTAAATGACACCTTCATGTCACAACTTGTACAAGCACCAACTAGAATGGATGCTTGTCTGGACCTGGTTTTAACAAACAACGTTGATCTTTTGACCAACATTCAAGTAGGTGAGCACTTGGGAAATAGTGATCACAATATAGTGTCCTTTGAAATAAACTCAAAAAAACAAAAGCACATGGGGAATACTAAAACATATAATTTTAAAAAGGCCAATTTCAATAAGTTAAGGGAAGCTTTACAATATATTGACTGGCATAAACTCTTTAGTGAAAAGAACACTGAGGATAAATGGATCATCTTCCAACAAATATTACAAAGGTACATTTCTCAGTATGTACCGTTGGGAAATAAATATAAAAGAAACAAATTAAAACCAATGTGGCTTAGTAGAGAAGTAAAACAAGAGATTAAAAATAAGAAAAGGGCATTTAAATCGGACAAATCAGATGCATCCTATATAAGATATAAGGAAGCCAATAATACGTGCAACAAAAGGCGATTAGATTCGCTAAATTTCAAAATGAAATAATGATAGCTAAAGAGAGCAAAACCAACCCCAAAGAATTTTTTTAAGAACATAAATTCTAAAAAAAAACAAAAATGAAAGTGTAGGTACACTAAAAACTGAAACGGGGGTGTTAGTTAATGAAGACCAGGAAAAGGCAGGAATTTTAAATAACTATTTCTCCTCCGTATATATTAAGGAAGAACCCATGGCAATAGATGTGCAAATGATTGCTACTAAAAACATGCAGAATAATTGTAATTGGTTAACTCAAGACAAGGTGCTGCAGCAACTAAAGAAAGTATAAACAAAGCTCCAGGGCCTGACGGTACCCATCCACGTGTACTTAAGGAACTAAGTGTAGAAATAACTGAACCTCTGTTTTAAATCTTTCAAGATTCTTTTCTTTTAGCAAGTGTTTCGGAGAATTGGAGTTAGGCAGATGTGGTTCCTATATTCACAAAGTGTTCAAAATCCTTGCCTGGAAATTATAGACCTGTGAGCCTAACTTCTGTGGCTGGGAAAATATTTGAGAGGTTATTAAGGGATAATATTCAAGAATTCCTTGAGAAGAACATGGTTATCAGCAAAAATCAGCATGGTTTTATGAAGCACAGGTTATGTCAAACTAACTTTGATTGCGTTCTACGAAGAAGTAAGTAGAAGTATAGATCAAGGTGTTGCAGTGGATGTGATCTATTTGGATTTTGCCAAGGCATTTGATACAGTTCCACACAATAGATTAGTGTTCAAACTCAAGGAAATTGGTCTAGATGAAAATGCTTGTTCTTGGGTAGAACAATGGCTTAGAAATAGAGTACAAATGGTAAATTTTCAAGCTGGACAGAGGTGGCAAAATTAATAAAAGGAATGGAACATATCAGCTATGAAGAAAGGTTAACAAATTTAAACCTATTTAGTTTAGAAAAACGTTGCCTGAGAGGGGATATGATAACATTATACAAATATATTCGGGGCCAATACAAACCATTGTGTGGAAATCTATTCACAAACCGGACTTTACATAGGACACGAGGCCATGCGTTTAGACTGGAAGAAAGAAGATTTCGTCTAAGGCAAAGGAAAGGGTTTTTTTTTACTGTAAGAACAATAAGAATGTGAAATTCTCTGCCTGAAGAAGTGGTTTTATCAGAGTCCATCCAGATGTTCAAACGGCTACTAGATGCATACTTGCAAGAACAGAATATTCAAGGATATACTCTTTCAATGTAGGGTAATAACTGCTTGATCCATGGATAAATCTGACTACCATTCTGGGGTCAAGAAATAATTTTTTTCCTAGCTTGTTGCAAAATTGGAAATGCTTTAAACTGGTTTTTTTTTTTGCCTTCTTTTGGATCAACAGCAAAAAACAAATGTGAGGAAGGCTGAACTTGATGGACGCAAGTCTCTTTTCAGCTGTGTAACTATGTAACTATTTAACTATACACACAGTGTTAGACACTATACAATGCGTTACACTATACACACAGCGTTACACACTATACAATTCATGACACTATACACACAGCGTTATACACTATACACAAAGTGTTACACAATATACACAGCGTTACACACTATACAATGCATGACAATATACACACAGCGTTATACACTATACACACAGTGTGACACAATATACACTGTCGCGGACACTATACACACAGTGTTACACACTATACACTCACACACAGTGTACAATATAAAGATCGACACGTATTTTATTGTGTCACACACAATGCTGTGATTGTGGTACAAATATACTCACTATATCACAATGCCGAGGGATATTATTGGAGAGATTAATTTCACTGGTAGTCAGTGACCCTACAGTTTGCAGGGCTTCAGGAAACAAATATTTAAGGGGCCCCTTAACCTCCCACCATGCTACAGATCCAGGTCCTCCTTTTAAGGTGGAATGGGCACACGGGTCTGCGGGAGGAAGGGTGTACACCAGAGAGGAAACAGACAAAATGCTCTCGAGATCAAGGGAGTGTACTAAAATATTACAATGAAAATAAAACACAACGGGTGCCTATGCCGCTGGGCCTTGTGTGTTCTTGCATGCACAGAGGACATATTTGCAGGTTTTTTATTCATAAAAAACATGAATGATACTACTTGTGTAAGTTAATGGAAGTCACCTACTACGCAGAGGGAACAAATCTTGGGAATCTACTACAAATAAGGGAAATTAAAGGAATACTCCAAGCACCATAACCACTACAACATAGCTCTACTGGCTATGGTACCATGACTGCCCTGGTGCCCCCAGTGCAGGTAATCAAACTGTTTGCTAATGGTTTCTTACCTAGGGTTCACCAGGCACCTGTCTCTACCTCTGCCTATGCCAGATGTTCTATTCACTGAGCCTCTGCCAGACGGTCTCTTCAAGCTCATGCATGGTGATGACTTTCTCGACTATTTACGCAGCATGAATGGCGATATTCAACAGAGGCCTTGTGCTCTAAAGTGCAAATAATAAATTCTATTCTTCTTTTGAAATATGATTTTACAATAATTTAAATAAACATATAGAATGTAACCATAGAATCGACCTCACCCTTTCCCGTGATAAAAAAAAAAAATAATAATCCAAGATGGTAGCACTAAGGCCACCCAGCGCCTTGTAACTTTCTTGTCTCTGCCAGGACGACCTTAACTAAAACAAGATGCTCCCACACACATCTATGCCAGAAAGGAAAAATTCAACTGGAGGATTATTGTAACAATTTGATATTCAAGTTTGGGTTGGCATTGCTCCAATCTTCCGCAACGGATCCTCTTGTGCTGAATAATAATACAGTATCTTACATAATACTCTCTTCACTCATATACTAACAGGGTTATTCACCAAAATGAGAATTCAAAGTGGATTTCTCCGGATGTGAGGACACACCTTTGTATTGTACCCCAACATGATGTTCGCTGTCTTAGGATACAAGTGGCATCTTTGTTTGTTAATTCTGTGACAACATTTTTATTTTCTCTCTGATCCTTCCATTATAATTTCAGTAATGCCACACATCGGAATATTATTATTACATTTATATAGCGCCAACGCATTCCGCAGCGCGTTACAATTTCAGAAAGACCACATTTAATAATAAGACCTTGCACATGTACGCTTACAATCTACGCTCTACAAATCTACCTATTTGAGGTATGTGGATATATATCATTAGGTTTCTTATCCAAAGACACTTACTGGTAACGTGGACTGGTCAGGATTTGAACCCCAATTTCCTATAACTAAGACATTGTTGTCACCCCTGCACTAACCAATCTCATACAGGCACCTCTCAGAGTCATAGAAGGAATCTTAAAACTGTAGGACTCGCCATGGTCTGACCAATCATCACGCACACAAATGTGAAATTTTCAACGTGTTGCTAACGGAAAAGTAAATGTTCTATTTGTGAGGGATCATATGAAAAAGAATATTCTATTCGGCGTCCCCCAAGGTTCTGTCCTTGGTCCCCTACTGTTTTCTATCTACACTGCCTCCCTTGGTAAACTCATCAGCTCCTTTGGTTATCATTTCTATGCAGATGACACACAAATCTACCTGTCCTCTGCTGATCTCTCTCCGCCCATCTTGACTCATGTCTCTGACTGCCTCTCTTCGATTTGCAAATGGATGGCTGCTCACTTCCTTAAACTCAACCTGTCCAAAACAGAACTTCTGGTCTTTCCTCCATTAAGTGTTCCTACTCCTTGTCAGGATCACCATTGTGCTTTACACAATATTGTGTATTTGGGTCTGGCTGGGATCAAACCTGAGTTTCCTGCATCCCAGTCGGTATCCTTGCATTGAGCTCCACGCATCTTTGACTGTTTCTGGTTGTTCTTGGTATCCTGTAGTCTGAGCCTGTACGCCTGGAATGTGCACACCTGTTCCTGGTTCCTTGATGATTGGCTGAGACTCCCTATTTAAACCCCGCAAGGCTGGTTCTCGTTGTCAGATCGTGTTTCCTGTTCCTGTTTGGTTTCACTGCTATTCTTCTGACTCCTGGTTTTGATCCCCTGCTCGTCTACCGTTTTTGCCTGATTGTCGCCTGTCCTGACTTCTGATTCTGATACTGACTACTCTTCTGGATATCCTTTGTCTGTACTGCGTTCCAGGAAGCACTGGTTATTTCAGCCCCAGTGCACTGTGTCACAACCTTGGGGATTTCTGTCCTGAGTCCCCTTGGCCTGTGTCGAATTGCAAAGGGTGCTTTAACTCTGCGTGCCGGACTCCCACTCCAGGTAAGATCCTTGACAGTACGATCTGAACAAATGGAGTCTGCAGAGTTGAAGATTACCGTTGCAGCCTTGACCCAGCAAGTTTCCCAGCTCACCCAGGCTTTGCAGGGCTTACAGCAGGAGCTGGCTTCCCTTAAAGGGAGAGTAACCTATGACTCTGGACTCTCTGAACCGCTGGTTGCTCTACCCGAGAAATTTTCTGGGATCCGGTCTAGGTATGATACCTTCAAAGTTGATTGCGAGGTCCTGTTCTCCCTGAGACCACTTACCTATGCCACAGACGTCATTAAAGTGAGGACAGCGATTACCTTATTGTCGGGGCACCTTAAGATCTGGGCCCACCAGTTGTTACTCGCCAAAAGCCCAGTCCTAGATTCCTGGGAGTCCTTTATTCGGTCCCTGGGTTTACAAGTCAACAAGACACAAAAGTCATATGTACATAGATCACCTACTGTTGCTTCACACATACAGGGCCGGCGCGTCCATAAGGCGGCACAGGCGGCCGCCTTAGGGCGCACCGGCCCGGGGGCGCAAATGTCCGGGTGGCCGGCAGGAGAGAAGCGCACAGCGCCCCTCTCCTGCCGGTCACTACTTGTAGCGTGGCCGAGCGCCAGCCTGCAGTGCCGCGGACTGTGTGGAGGGGGCGGGGATATGAACGTCATATCCCTGCTCCCTCTGTAGCACACAGCGCGGCTGGCGCCCAGCAGGGGCGGAGCTACGGCCCCCTTCTAATCAGCATGGGAGGAAGTCCTCCCAACAAGACTAGGGCAGCAGAAGGCAGAGAGGAGGGGGCTGGGCAGGACCAGCTCCTCCAACTCCCAACTACCTCAGGCAGCACTTTGGATCCCAGGTAAGCCCCCCTTCTGAACCTGCTGGTCAGTGTGTGTGTGTGTGTGTATCTGTCTGTCAGTGTGTGTATGTCTGTCAGTGTGTGTGTGTGTGTATCTGTCTGTCAGTGTGTGTATGTATATGTCTGTCAGTGTGTGTGTATATGTCTGTCAGTGTGTCTGTGTATCTATGTCTGTCAGTGTGTGTGTGTGTATGTCTGTCAGTGTGTCTGTGTGCATCTATGTCTGTCAGTGTGTCTGTGTGTGTATATGTCTGTCAGTGTGTGTGTATTGTCTGTCAGTGTGTCTGTGTGTGTATATGTCTGTCAGTGTGTGTATGTCTGTCAGTGTGTCTGTGTGTGTGTATGTCTGTCAGTGTGTCTGTGTGTGTATATGTCTGTCAGTGTGTCTGTGTGCATCTATGTGTGTCTGTGTGTGTATATGTCTGTCAGTGTGTGTGTATATGTCTGTCGCGTGTTCCGTGTATCTAAGGGCGTCTGTCAGTGTGTGTGCGGCTGTTCGTCAGTGTGTCTGTGTGCATCTATGTTCGTCACGCGTGTCTGTGTGTGTATATGTCTGTCAGTGTGTGTGTATATGTCTGCTCGCGTGTCTGTGTGCGTGGCATGTTCCGTCAGTGCGTGTGTGTGTGTGTGCGTCTGCCAGTGTGTCTGTGTGTGTGTATGTCTTGTCAGTGTGTTCGTGTGTGTATATGTCTGTCAGTGTGTGTATATGTACCATGTGTCTGTGTGTGCATCTTATGTGTGTCTGTGTGTGCGTGTCTGTCAGTGTGTGTATATGTTCGTCAGTGTGTGTGTGTATGTAAGTGTCTGCTTCAGTGTGTCTTGTGTATCTATGTCTGCTCGTGTGCGTGTGTGTGTCTGTGTATCTATGTCTGTCAGTGTGTGTGTGTGTATGTCTGTCAGTGTGTCTGTGTGCATCTATGTCTGTCAGTGTGTCTGTGTGTGTATATGTCTGTCAGTGTGTGTGTATCTGTCTGTCAGTGTGTGTGTGTGTATATATGTCTGTCAGTGTGTGTGTATGTCTGTCAGTGTGTGTGTGTGTATATGTCAGTGTGTGTGTGTGTATATATGTCTGTCTGTCAGTGTGTGTGTATATGTCTGTCAGTGAGTGTGTGTGTATCTATGTCTGTCAGTGTGTGTGTGTGTCTGTCAGTGTGTGTGTGTGTATCTATGTCTGTCAGTGTGTGTGTGTATCCATGTCTGTCAGTGTGTGTGTGTGTGTATATGTCTCTGTCCGTGTGTCTGTGTGTATCTAAATGTCTGTTAGTGTGTGTGTCTGTCTGTTAGTATGTCTTCTTCCCTATCATTGTGTATGTGTGTCTGTCACTGTGTGTTTATCTGTATGTCTGTCAGTGTTTGTGTGTACCTGTGTGTCTATCTGAATGTGTATCAGTTTGTGTATATGTATATCTGCATGTGTCAGTGTGTGTATCTTTGTATATGTGTATCACAGTGTGTGCGTGTGTGGCAGTGTATGTGTATATGTGCATATATCTCAGCATTCAAACACCAACACTACACACAAATAAACACCTGCATGCAAATGTCAACACTACATACAAACACACCCCTGCATTCAAATGTCAACACTACATACAAACACACCTCTGTATCAGACACCAAAATTATATATAAACACACCTGCGTTCAAAAACCAACACTACACATAAATGCATGCTTGCATTCAAATGCAAACACTACATACAAACACACCGCTACAATCATACAAACATACTCCATACAAACACATGCTTACAGTCAAACACACAAATGCTGCTCCATGCTAAATACAATACTGCAAGCATGGGGAATCGGTAGAGCCCCAGCTTTCAAAGCATTGTTGAAGTTGCACGACAGATGGGGGTCTATCTTTTAGCCATCCTGTGTACATACACAGACCGTCATACAGAGACATACACCATGTATGTCTCTGTATGACTGTGTAAATGTATTCAAAAGGAATAAACGCAGGCAACACTCCAATAGTAAGGATGGTATATTTATTGATAGGTGAACCACCCCAAAGAAAGTGCGTTGTCAGCAGAGCCTTATTGCATGAGCTGAAACATCACACTTTCTATGGGGTGGTTCACCTACCAATAAATATACCATCCTTACTATTGGAGTGTTGCCTGCGTTTATTCCTTTTGAAGACTTTACTGGTGGATCCAGCAATGTCTGCCTGACATGGAGCATCCACCTCTGTAGATGGCCGGAGCATTTACACAGTGTCAGTGTGCAGGGTTCTTTGTTTGTCTGTGTATGTATGTCTCTGTATGCCTATCTCTGTTTCTTTATGTCTGTGTATGTATTTCTGTGAGTGCCTGTGTCTGTATGAATGTATGTCTGTGTTTGTACGACAATGTACTTGTATGTGTAGATTGTATGACTGTGTTTGTTTGTGTGCCTTTTATGACTGTGTGTCTGTATATCTTTGTGACTGTGTGCCTGAAAAATTATGTCTGTGTGCTTGTATGGTTTTGTGTCTGTATGTTTGTGTATTTGTGCATGTATGTATTTTTGCCTGTATCTATGTCTATGTGGGAGAAAAAGAGAGATAGATAGGGGCTGGGGGGAAGAAAGAGACAGAAAGGGGCTGGCGGGGAAGTAAGAAATACATAAGAGGGGTTGTAGGAGACACACTAAAGGGGGGTGTAAGGCACAAAGGGGCCAAAGGGGTAAGACATTCAAGAGAGTCGATATGCAACACTAATGGGGGTAAGAAATTCAAAAGGGGGCTACGAGACACAGAGGTGAAGATGCATTGTTTATTTTTTTGAGGGGGGGGCGTCAAAATGCATCTTCGCCTGTGTAGTCAAAAATCCTAGCACCGGCCCTGCACACATATTGCAACCCGGACTGGAAATGGACTACACTACTCCTTTCACTCGGACTGATGTTAAAGCTAACCCTACCGCTCCCAAGTCTCCCGAAACATCGTATACATCTGGCAGGGAGGCGGAGGAACCCATGGAGATTGGACTGGTTAGGTTCCGTCAGTCATCTCAAGAAAGGGCAAGAAGGATGGCACATGGACTGTGTTATTATTGTGGGGAGATGGGACATTTAATATCTTTTTGTCCCATTCGTCCATCTAGGTCTCGGGTTCTCCGTCTGGGTACTACTCTGGCATATCCTATGAGACCTGTCTGCCAACATGCTGCCTGTCCTTGCTTGAACACTCTGTCCAATCCTCAGCCTTCTACAGTCGTTGCTCCTGAGGTTGTGCAGGAATCTGTTACTAAAGAACCTGAGATCTCTATTTCTACTAAAGATTCTGCTTCTAAGAAGGCAAGCACCACAACCACTACAAGTCCTGTCAAGGAAGACCCTCTTTCTGGCTGTACCTATGCCTCTAATGGGACTCTAGTCCGGAAGGAGGACTTGCAAGTATTTGAAAAGGCCCTACAAGCTATGACCTCTGCTCCTACTAGTACCACCAAAGCCAAGAAATCCAAAAAGTAACCTCTTGGGTCGTAGTTGCGTTCCTCTTCTCGCCTACGGCGTCTTTGAAGGGGGGGTAATGTCAGGATCACCATTGTGCTTTACACAATATTGTGTATTTGGGTCTGGCTGGGATCAAACCTGAGTTTCCTGCATCCCAGTCGGTATCCTTGCATTGAGCTCCACACATCTTTGACTGTTTCTGGTTGTTCTTGGTATCCTGTAGTCTGAGCCTGTACGCCTGGAATGTGCACACCTGTTCCTGGTTCCTTGATGATTGGCTGAGACTCCCTATTTAAACCCCGCAAGGCTGGTTCTCGTTGTCAGATCGTGTTTCCTGTTCCTGTTTGGTTTCACTGCTATTCTTCTGACTCCTGGTTTTGATCCCCTGCTCGTCTACCGTTTTTGCCTGATTGTCGCCTGTCCTGACTTCTGATTCTGATACTGACTACTCTTCTGGATATCCTTTGTCTGTACTGCGTTCCAGGAAGCACTGGTTATTTCAGCCCCAGTGCACTGTGTCACAACCTTGGGGATTTCTGTCCTGAGTCCCCTTGGCCTGTGTCGAATTGCAAAGGGTGCTTTAACTCTGCGTGCCGGACTCCCACTCCAGGTAAGATCCTTGACACTCCTGTGTCGGTCTCCCTCCAAGTCAACAGCTCTACCATCACCTCTACCTCGCAGGCTCGCTGCCTGGGTGTTCCTTTTGACTCCAACCTCTTCTTCACCCCTCATGTCCAATCAATCGTCAAATCCTGTCACTTCCATCTCAAAAACATAGCACACATCTGCCCCTATTTAACCCCAGATGCGGCTAAGGTGCTGGTCCATGCTCTTGCTCTCTCGCCTGGACTACTGCAATAATCTTCTCAGTGGTCTTACGTGTTCCCAGATTGCACCGCTGCAATCTATAATGAATGCGGCAGCGAGGCTCATTTTCCTGTCCGCTCGCACCGCTCACGCCTCCCCGCTCTGTCAGTCCCTGCATTGGCTTCCAGTTAGATATAGAGCTCAATTTAAGATTCCGGTGCTTGCTTACAAGTCCCTACATAATGCTGCTCCAACCTACCTATCCTCCCTAATACACAAATATGTCCCGTCGAGACTCCTGCGCTCTGCCAAAGACCTACGTATATCCTCTGTCCGAACTCCCACCTCTATAGCTCGCCTCCAAGACTTTTCCAGGGCTGCACCTCTTATGTGGAACTCCCTTCCCTTCTCATAAGACTTTCACCCAGTCTCCACTCATTGAAAAAATTATTGAAAACTCCTTCAAGAAAGCATATCGATTAAACAGTTAGCAGGTTTTTAGCCCCCACCATCCATGACTCCTCTCCTGCAACTGTCAAAAATTACCTACTAAGCCCTTAATTAATACTTTTCTAACACCCTGCTTCCCCTACTTTTACCCTTTGTGTCACTATACCCCACTCCCTTTAGAATGTAAGCTCATGAAGCAGGGCCCTCCACCTCTCTGTTCCTGTACGTCCAGTTGTCTGGTTACAATTACATGTCTGTTAGTCCACGCATTGTACAGCGCTACGGAATCTGATGGCGCTATATAAATATTAAAATAATAATAATAATAACATTCCATAGTAATCATGGCGATAGCGCCACTTGAAGGATTATATATATAGAAGTATGTAGAGCTTTCCCTGTGCAATGTGCCGAGTTCTGGCCACACAGATAGAGTATCCCAGCCAGATATGATCTTATTAACTCTACACTGTTTTTATGGTCTGAGATCGCCACTCACTAATTTTCATACGAGGTCAAGTGACCTCAATTGACCATGGTCGACATGATAGAAGACTAATGTTAGCAATCCCCCCTTACCGGCTATTTATATTAAAGGAACAATATAGCATTAGGAGTACAAAATCTATAGTGTTCCGCTACCTGTGTACACCCTGTTCCAAATTATTATTCAAATTCTATTTAAGTGTCACAAAGATTAAATATTGTTTTTCAGTTTAACTCATGGATGGCATTGTGTCTCAGGGCTCTTTTGATCACTGAAAACAATCACGGACACCTGTGATAATTAGATTGCCAGGTGAGCCCAATTTAAGGAAAAACTACTAAAGGAGGGTGTTCCACATTATTAAACAGAGCACCATTTTCATGCAATATGGGGAAGAAAAGGGATCTCTCTGCTGCCGAAGAGAGTGAAATAGTTCAATGCCTTGGACGAGGTATGAAAACATTAGATATTTCACAAAAACTTAAGCGTGATCATCGCACAAGTAAGAGATTTGTGGCTGATTCAGAGCACAGACGGGTTCGTGCAGATAAAGGCACATTGAGGAAGATTTCTGCCAGATCCATGCATCAGATCAAGAGAGCAGCTGCTAAAATACCATTACACAGCAGCAAACAGATATTTTAAGCTGCTGGTGCCTCTGGAGTCCCACGGACATCAAAGGTGTAGAGTCCTCCAGAGTCTTGCAACTGTGCATAAACCTTCTATTCAACCACCACTAACCAATACTCACAAGCAGAAACAGCTGCATTGAGCAGAAAAATACATGAAGATGAATTTTCAAACAGTCCTGTTCACTGATGAGTGCCGTGCAACCCTGGATGGTCCAGATGGATGGAGTAGTGGATGGTTGGTGGATGGTTGGTGGACGGCCACCCTGTTCCAACAAGGCTGCAACGTCAGCAAGGTGGTGGTGGAGTCATGTTTTGGGCCGGAATCATGGGAAGAGACCTGGTTGGCCCCTTTAGGGTACCCGAAGGTGTGAAGATGACCTCTGCAAAGTATGTGGAGTTTCTGACTGACCACTTTCTTCCCTGGTACAGAAGAAAGAACTATGCTTTCCGTAATAAAATCATCTTCATGCAGGACAATGCACCATCTCATGCTGCAAAGAATACATCTACATCAATGGCTGCTATGGGGATAAAAGGAGAGAAAGTCATGGTGTGACCTCCATCCTCCCCTGACCTCAATCCTATTGAGAACCTTTGGAGCATCCTCAAGCAAAATATCTATGAGGGTGGGAGGCAGTTTACATCCAAACAGCAGCTCTGGGAGGCTATTCTGACATCTTACAAACAAATTCAAGCAGAAATTGTCCAAAAACTCACAAGTTCAATGGATGCAAGACTTGTGAAGCTGCTATCAAATAAGGGGTCCTATGTTAAAATGTAACGTGACCTGTTAAAATGATTAAAATGTTGTTATAAGTTTGATTGAAATAGCTTTTGATTTCAGTAAATATGCTGCAAACACAATAAATTACAATTTTCAGTTCTTTACAACCTATAAAGTGTTTTGAAGCGTACTGCGCGTAATAATTTGGTGCATTGTAATTTTTTTATGTTTAAAAAAAATACTGTTATCATTAGGAGGTTGGTTCAATAAAATTTGAATTGTACTCTTAATAGTTGATAACGTGAGAATGATGCTGACTGTTATTTACATCAATTATTTCGGTAAATGAGAAAAATATAATTTGCATAATAATTGGAACAGGGTGTAGGTGTCCACCCCTGCCCCTTGCAGGGGTTTAACTTACCTTATATCCCGCAGCACGCTAGTCTCAATGCTGACGCTCTGCCTGAAGATCTCATTGGGAGGCTAGTGCGCAGGGCAGCAAAACGCAGCACTGTACCTATCAAATACTCTGAAGTACTCAAAAACTTTGAGATACCCTACAAAACGGCAATGTTTTCCGCTACAATCACAGCTAGACTATTGTATCTGAACATTGTGTCATTATATTTTCAGTTCCCTAGAATTTGGCCTTTTGTTACTTCTCTCCCGAGGCCAGGCGAGCCCCACCAGTCTCTCAGTGTCTCCATCCCCGGGATCAGGTTCTGTTACATTCTTCTCTTCAAATCTTTTCTTCTGCCAAGTCCTCTCTGACCTTTTTCCAAACCCTGGGATTCAACCACTTCCTTACACGTTTCAAAATCCTGTTATTTTCTCGATTTAAGCTTTTTTTAAATATTTTTTTTTACTTTCTATTCAGTTAATGCCCTCCTTTTATTTCTCCACTACAGAGGCTCCTAAAAAAGGGACAGGTAACTTTGGGCCTCCAACTGCTGTTGGTCACACCTCGCGGCATCTTGACTGAGCTTGATGAGAGTTGGATAATTAAGGCTTTAATTCCTAAATACAGTATTACATCTGACAGCATATCCCGAGCTTTGTTTTTGGGGAGGTGGGTTGAACTTTTGGGCTTAATTCCTTTGTATTGGTTTGCCATACCCAGGAGAAATTGAGCCTATATTTTATAAAAACTGAAATTCTATTTTCTAAATACTGCCCACTACACTATCCATTCTTCTGTACTGTTGTAAGGAGAGATAATAACCTTCTATATCAGCCAGGATCACCCCTAAAAGCGATATTTGGGGTCAGAGCTTTGGGTCCCTTGAGATAGTTTTTGGCGGCCCTCATGTAGATGTACCCCCTGTGACCTGTAGGTAAAAGAGATGCCGTTCTAGCTGAAAATGTCAATAAAAAGCAAGGACAAGGAGACCCCCAACTCCTTTCTGACTGACCACCCAGCGGGTTCTTCTACAGGCTACATAAAAAACTAAACTCTTAGCTGGGGGGAAAGTGGGAGCTGCTATATGATGGATAGGAAGAAGGGCAACTCATAGCATTATTGGCGACAAGGCTAACAATCTAGAAGAAAGCGATCTTCTTTATGGTAGCATAGTTCCAGTAAAGGGTTAATGCAGAGTGCTCTCAGAGTGTGGGAAACCCATAGAAATCAAACAGGAGTAATGACAATTTATATCAGAAGTGACATGACATGCACATGGGAAGGATTGGAATCAGTCCCAGTACTAGCAAACCCGGCTATTTAAATCCATTTACTGCTGCATTCCCAGATGGGAAAAAATGTAAACGTATTGCCATGGAAACCGCATAATTATGAACTCCTAATACAGAGAGCAGACATCTGGACACACATTTTCAATCTTCCAATACACAGATATCAGGACACCTACCTCTCAGCCCCTCCTAATACACAGACATCAGGACACCTACCTCTCAACCCCTCCTAATACACAGACATCAGGACACCTACCCCTCACCTCCTAATACACAGACATCAGGACACCTACCTCTCAACCCCTCCTAATACACAGACATCAGGACACCTACCTCTCACCCCCTCCTAATACACAGACATCAGGACACGTACCTCTCACCTCCTCCTAATACACAGACATCAGGACACCTACCCCTCACCTCCTAATACACAGACATCAGGACACCTACCTCTCACCCCCTCCTAATACACAGACAGCAGGACACCTACCTCTCACCTCCTCCTAATACACAGACATCTGGACACGTACCACTCACCTCCTAATACACAGACATCAGGACACCTACCTCTCAACCCCTCCTAATACACAGATATCAGGACACCTACCTCTCACCTCCTCCTAATACACAGACATCAGGACACATACCTCTCACCTCCTCCTAATAGACAGACATCAGGACACCTACCCCTCACCTCCTAATACACAGACATCAGGACACGTACCTCTCACCTCCTCCTAATACACAGACAGCAGGACACTTACCTCTCACCTCCTCCTAATACACAGATATCAGGACACGTACCTCTCATCCCCTCCTAATACACAAACATCAGGACACCTACCTCTCACCCCCTCCTAATACGCAGACATCAGGACGCCTACCTCTCACCTCCTCCTCACCTCATCTGATTTTCAAGCCATATGTGATATATTTGCAAACAGAATAAAACCTCATGAAATGCTGTAAGCATAAAATATGGCAGGACTTATTCACTAAACAGTATATTGTGTTACATTGTAACTGTTCCCACTCGGCTATAGACAGAGCGTGGATATTTTATCTCAATGTTGCAATCTGGTTTTCAGTACTTTACAAGTTGCTGTTTAGTGGATAACCCTTTACGGTAGCTGTTTAATTATTCTTAACCCATCGTTCACAATAACTGGTAACTTTTCATGGTCACACTCACCTATCCCGTGATTTGTACACTTCCAGTGGATGTAGGATCTTCTTTAAGATTTAAGTGCGCTTGAGTTAAGTGTATCCTCAGGATAAATGACTTTACTCACATCAAATGGAGTGTTTATTAGCTGAGTGTATCCTGGCTGGAACTTGGAAGCAGTGTATGTATTGTGTTTGAGCCTTCAGCTCCTCCCGTACAATGCTTAGACATTCATGAGACAAAGAAGAACTCTGCAAAACTGTCCCAAACGCTCTCTCTCTCCCCCATCCCACCCTCTCTGCGCTGTGCAAGCTCAGACAGATGTTCAGAAACAGCTGGGGCAACTCTGCATTTCTCCTCTTTGGAACAGAGTCCCTTTAGAAAGGAAACGCTCACGTTTTCACTGTATCAACAGCTGTCCAACACAGCACACCTAACATACATAACAAAGGATCTTACACAGCTCTTAACACATTAACACCACATATGCAGGACAGTAAACACCTTATAGAAACCTTCAAACAATGTTGGGTTAACGGAACTCTCCTGTATCAAGTTATTTGCGTTAAAAAAAAATATATAGCAAAAACTGAATTTATTTGAAACATATGATATCTAGCTACCATGTCATATACAGATTGCAAGTTTGCACAATTACGTTTTTTTTGTTTTTTTTATTCTCTTATCCATTACGGAAATATTGTGGGAATGAAGTGCAGTAGATATTCAATGACATTCTTTATCTTACAATATTTCAGACAGGATCCGAAATGCAGACAGAGAATCAGGTACGAAAAAAAACAAACATGTTGTTGGTAGGGCGGCGTAAAGAAGCAATACAGAGATAGAAGAATGAAATGTTTGCAATGTTAGCTCTGTCTTTGACGTTCCTGAACTGGAATACAGTGTAATTTGCTAAATCTTTAATATAAATGTAAAAGAAAACACAGCAAGTCATCAAAAAGTAAGCCTTAAAGGTTACTCCAAGCACCATGACCACTTCAGGGATTTGAAGTGGTTGTAGTGCCTCGCTATGAAACGCTGCACATACTGAGCCTAAATTGTTGCCAGACTGGAACCAGTGGTGTATTTAGGATTTGTGCTGCCCTAGGCAGGACGGTGTTCAGGCATCCCCCCTCCATTTAAATTTTCCCCACCCCTTCCTGTCAAGGCCGCATGTAGCGAAAGTGACCTCGCCACTGGTTTTTGGAGGGGCCTGTTTTCCAGCCTCCTGCCCTGAGACTATGGCCCTGGGATGTATTGCCCTAATGTGGCGAAACCAGCCTCGCCACTGGGCATTGGAGAAGACTGACTGCCAGCCTCCTGCCATGTGACTATGGCCCCTGGGATGTATTGCCTCTCCTGTACTGCTGAGGATTGCTACCAACTAGGTGGATTTGGCTATGGAGCTTGTGTAGTGCCCTCTGTTGGTAGCAACAGTAATATGCACTACCTAAATAGCAAGACTGATAATTTGCATATTCGGGTAGATTTGCATATCGCTAATTCTGCATGCAGGAAAGACATTTTGTGTTAATTATGGTCTTCCCCACCCATTTATAAATATGTAATTATGTTATAATAAGTCAATGTATGTTGCCTGCTATGATTTGACTGTTTGTAATTTTATTGAGTTTTCACAGCAATGTTAATGTAAGGACCATATGGGCTAGTCCCAAGTAAAATAGAGTTTTAGACAATTCTGCTTGACCCTCAAACAAAGTGTCGTCTCGTTCTTGGGGGGAATTGGATTGTATGCTGTTACAGTGCGACTGCCTGGAGTGTAAACTGTTCGTGTGGTTTTTCCTGTACGGCTGTTTAACAGCATTCGTGTGTTCGGGAGTTGGTGAATTTGTGTGTTTCCTGTTCGGGAGTTTGGAGCATTCCCCTGGTTGCAGTTTGGGAGATTGGTGAATTCATGTGTTGCAGTTCGGGAGATTGGTGAATTCATGTGTTTGCAGTTCGGGAGATTGGTGATTGCAGTAGTTGCCTGTGCATCTGAAAAGGGGACTATCGCCTAAACGGTTTTTAACCTCTTGTGTGCAAAACGGTCCGTTACACCGCACTTTGACTGACAAACGCTCACTCACTGACAGACACACACTCTCATATACACTGACAAACAATGACATACACACACACTGATTTGACACATTGATAGACACACAGTATTACTCGGATACACACTAACAGACTCGCACTCACTGACAAACACACACTCTCACTAACAGATGCATGCACTCACTGACAGACACACACTCACTAAGACACACACACACATTCACTAAGACACACACTTACAGACACACACATTCCCTCACAGACACACACATTTCCACCAACACTCACAAATTATTATTTTTAAAATTTTATTTTAAATCCACCCAGCCTCCCTGGGAGAGCAGGAGTGGATTACTTACCTGCAGTCCAATGGGGCTGCTGGGCGGGCAGGCAGGTGGTGGACAACCTGAGTAGGTGGCGAGGGAGCTTTAATCTCACTGCTTAGCTCCCTCACGCACCGCTTACTGTTGCTGGGAGCCGGAGTGACGTCATATTCCGGCTCCCGGCTTCATTAAGCGGTGTGGAGGGAGCTGAGCAGGAAGAGCTCAGGTGAGCATGCTTCCTTGCTGCCCGCTGCCCGCCACCAGCCTCGGGGGAGCTCAAAAGTGGCAAGCTGGCCAGCTCTTGAGCCTCCAAGACACGAGGCAAACAAGGGATCTGCCTGGGCGTTTGGGGGCGGCTTTTTTTGCCGCCCAAGGCAGATGCCTTGTTTGCCTCGTGTAAGTCCCGGACCGGAACAAGAGTTCCAAGCTGGCTAATGCCAATTCTGTGCATAAATATTTGCCCAGTCTGCCATTTATTGGCTGAGAGTAGTCAGCTGATGCTCTCAATCATTGATTGGCGATTGGATCAACTTCTGCAGCTCCGGGGACCGTTAACCCTTTAACACATGTTATTGGTGATTTTTAAAGTTCAATAGTATAACATGCTAAAACGAGCTAAAAGACAGTTCCCTTTTAAATGTTACATTTTAGCCAAGGATAAGGGATTTGCAATGTTTGCAAACTACTAGAAAAATGCGTTAAAGCAGAACTAACCCTTCCTTGTAAGTGACACTTCCTCAATCCTACACCGAATGACAACTAACCGAGTGCTCACTGAGGTTAGTAAATAAGTAAAAGCACTTAATGCCGCAGGATTTCTGTGTTCAGGGCGATGCTTCATGCTTTCACGTGCATGTACAGAAAAAGTGTCATCCGACTTTCCTTATACTGTCATGTACAGGGTGGGGGGGAAATTTAGAGTATGGTTTGAGGAGCCAATAACCTTTTTATCAGGGAAATCACATACAATGAACGCCTAACGTATGGAGATCTGTTTGACAGGTTAAGGAAGATGACATCTGTTAAGACACCTCCCGTGTCTTTAAGCCAAACCGCCGTTTAGTAAACCTTCCCCGGCTGCAGTACAGTCTCTGTTCGCTTACTCGGTAACCCACGAACCAAATGCAGGGGAAGCGGCAATCTCCCGATCGAAATCCACGAACGGCTCCAAACTCCCGAACGGCAATATACGAACTGCTGGGAACCGTCGAACAATAATATCCCCAAAGCGGCTTTCGTTCCATCCAGCAGTCTCTAAACGTGAAGAAGAAATCCCCCCAATAACGAGACAGAAGCTCCGCATTGAGGGTCAAATAAGATCTGGTTTTACTGTGGGCTACCTGCCCGTATTTATGCAGGTCTCCCACCTGGTGGACACTCCCCTAGGGGACCAAATGGAAGACTTAAAGTACAGACAGATAGAAGGACATTTCTGACACACAGTCACATATTTTACCCACAGTGCATTCTGATTCCCTCCCCTCTGTCCTGGAGTTAATTACCAAGTAACTCAATTAACTCCAGGACAAGGACAGTCGCCATCTTAAGCATGAAATAATAAAAGACACAAAAATGCATAACTACATGAAAACTGAACATTTCCCATTCGTATTACATGTCCCCAGATAGCCTGGATCTGAGTGCATATTATTGGCGAATAGCGCTCAGATCCCACACACATAGTTCAATCGCCATGGAGTCAAAGTTCTTACAGTCCTTCGGTACACGAATGACTCCATGGGTGGGCTATCTGGGTTAAGTCTTTTGTGTGTTCTCAATCTCCCGAACGGCCGATGTTCGCATGCTTTCGTGGAGGCAGCCAGGCGTTCCCTTGTTTCAGCGGTGTTCGACAGAAAAAGTGTCCGTTTTCCGTTCCATAGAAATAGAGCCAAACACCGCTGAGCGTTCGCATGATTTAAAATGGCCGCTGCCTCGTGGTCGACATACGAACGACGACCACCCTGAGTTCGGTTTAATTGAGAAGTGTCTGCGGTTAACCACAACGTTATAATGGTGATCACTTCGTTAACCTGCAGCACACTCCTCACTTGGGTGGCCGTTCGTTCGGCGGTTTTGTTCGGGAAAAAGAGTCATTCGAATGGCTGGGCTATAGAAACCAGCCATTCATACGAACGGGGACAAACAGACGAACGGGCAAAAATCCAGCAGACAGATGGTTCTGTCACACGGCTCCCTCCTTGTGGGACACTCCGGCAGACCCGGCTTGACCCTGTGGCGGGTCAACTTGGGGATGACCGGACTACGAGGTGATGGAAACGTCTGTTTGTCGTGACAACCCATCTGCGTTTCCGTTTAGCTTACCGGGTCTGTAGCTGATGGTAAAATTGTAGGGCTGTAGTGCCAAGCTCCATCTCAGCAGTCTCCCATTGTCTCCTGAGACCCGGTTAAGCCAAACGAGTGGGTTGTGATCAGTCACAAGGGAAAACTCTTGCCCATACAAATAGGGGCTTAACTTTTTCAATGCCCAGACCAAGGCCAAGCATTCCTTCTCCACTGCCGCATAACTCACTTCTCTGGGTAACAACTTTCTGCTGAGATATGCGACAGGGTGCTCTCCTCCATCTTCCCCGACTTGGCTCAGCACAGCCCCCAGTCCATACATGGAAGCATCTGTATGGACGAGAAAGCGTTTGTTAGGGACTGGGGCAGCCAAGACAGGGGCATTCACAAGAGCCTGCTTCAGTGCCTGGAATGCAGCTTCACAAGCCGGAGACCACAGGACCTGCTTAGGCAAGTTCTTCTTAGTCAGGTCTGTCAGGGGCTTAGCAATAGTGCTGTAGTCAGGGACAAAACGTCTGTAGTACCCTGCCGTCCCCAAGAAGGCCAATACCTGGGTCTTAGTAGTAGGTGTGGGCCAGTTAGCCACTGCCTCTACCTTGGCTGGCTCTGGTCTCTGGCTCCCACACCCCACTCTGTGACCCAGGTACTGCACTTCAGCCATACCTAGATGACACTTTTCTGGCTTCAACGTCAGGCCAGCGGCCCTAATCTTATCCAGCACTACCCCTACATGTACCAGGTGTCCCTCCCAGGACCCACTGTAGATCGCAATGTCGTCCAAGTATGCACAGGCAAATTCTTGGAAGCCATCCAGGAGTCTATCCACCATCCGTTGGAAAGTAGCCGGTGCATTTTTCATCCCAAAAGGCATGACCTTAAATTGGTACAGGCCAAATGGGGTGACAAATGCCGACTTGGGGATAGCATCCTCAGCCAGGGGGATCTGCCAGTAGCCCTTACACAGGTCTATGGTGGTCAGATATCGCCCCCTGGCAATACGATCTAGTAATTCGTCTACCCGGGGCATTGGGTAGGCGTCAGTGGTGGTCCGCTCGTTGAGTCGCCTGTAGTCCACACAGATCCGGGTGGTCCCATCTTTCTTTGGCACCAGGACTACGGGCGAGGCCCAAGGGCTGTCGGAGTGCTCGATAACCCCAAGTTGGGTCATCTCCTGTATCTCCTTCCGCATTCCTTCACGGACTGCTTCAGGGATACGGTAAGGGGGCTGTCGTAACGGGGGCTGTCCAGGGGTCTCTACCTTATGCACAGCTAGGGTGGTATAACCTGGTTCCTGGGAGAACGTCGCCTGCTTCTCCCATAACAACTGCTGCGCCTGTACTCTTTCTGTGGGGTTCAACCGGTCCCCTAGCTGTACCAAGGTAGTAAGGTCAGTCTGGGAATCCCTTTCTAATAGATCTGGAAGGGGTAAGTTCTCAGAATCATCTGCAGCTGGGGCACATACTGCTGCAATATTCTCAGGTCTCTCCTGGTACTCTTTCAGCATGTTCACATGAAAGGACCGCTGGATCCTCTCATCTGCACAGCTGGCTATCAAGTAAGTAGCGTCGCAGATCTGCGCCACTACCTGGTACGGGCCCTGCCAAGATGCTTGCATCTTGTTGGCCTTCACAGGTTTGAGCACCAATACCTTTTGCCCAACCTGGAAGACCCGCTGTCGGGCACCCTGATCGTACCATCTCTTCTGTCTCCCCTGGGCCGCCTGGAGATTCTCCCTTACCATCAGGGACAGTTTCTCCATGCGGTCCCGGAGTTTCAGAACATATGGCACTATGGGGGTCCCTTCCTGCTCCGTCTCCCCCTCCCAGTGGCCTCTAATGAGATCTAGGGGTCCGCGGACCCTTCTCCCATACAGCAGCTCAAAGGGGGAGAACCCAGTGGATTCCTGGGGCACCTCTCTATAAGAAAATAATAGATGAGGCAGGAATCTCTCCCAGTCTCTGCAAGTGTCCGTAAAGGTCCTCAGCATCTGTTTGAGGGTACCGTTAAAGCGCTCGCAGAGACCGTTAGTCTGTGGGTGGTAGGGTGAGCTAAGTAATGGCTTAATGCCGCACACCTTCCACAGTTGCTGGGTGAGCACAGCGGTGAATTGGGTTCCCTGGTCGGAGAGGATCTCCTTAGGGAACCCGACCCTAGTAAAAATTCTAACCAGGGCATCAGCAGCCGTCTCTGCCTCTATGTTAGACAGCGCTACTGCCTCTGGATAGCGGGTGGCATAGTCCACCACGGTAAGAACATACTTCTTACCGGATGGACTAGCCCTGGCCAGTGGACCCACAATGTCAACGGCTATGCGGGCAAAGGGCTCCCCTATAATAGGCATCGATAATAGCCTGGCCTTAGGGTGGTCCCCCCGCTTTCCTACCCGTTGACATGTGTCCCACGTGCTGCAGTACATCCGCACAGCCTGGTTAAAGTTTGGCCAAAAGAAGTTCTGTGAAATCCTATAGGCTGTGCGGCGGGACCCTAGATGTCCAGCTAAAGGAACATCATGCCCTATCCGCAGAATCTCCTGCCGGTACTTTGCAGGTACCACTAACTGGCGGTTCGGCGGAGAGGCAACACTCTTCTGGGAAGGTTTAGGGATCCTATATAACCTGTCCCCCACCCACTCATACCGTTCCCCATCTATTCCTTCCTCCCCTGCCTCTGCCCTGTCCTTGTATCTTTGGAGGGTCGGATCCGCCCGGGTTTCCCTCCCAAACTCCTCTGGGAAATCCCAGCTTAAGGGGACCTGATCTGGGGTATCAGTCGGGGAAGGAGATCTTACCTGGGTCTCGTCAGCAAGTGGGCTGGTTCCGGCAGCACGGGTCTGGGCACGGGTGGTCACTGGGTTCACGTCTGCAGGGCCCATCGGAGCATAGGCTGAAACCAAAGGGGCCAAATCGTTTCCCAAAAGAACATCTGCGGGCAAGTCCTTCATCACCCCCACATCCACATGTCTAGCGCCCCCTCCCCAATCCAAATGTACTCGGGCAACAGGTAAGCGAAACACGGCACCCCCTGCTACCCTTACTGCCACAGTGTCTCCAGTGTGTTGATGCTCTGAGACCAAGTTCTTTTGGAGCAGTGTCATCGTGGCTCCTGTGTCTCTCAGCCCATTCACCACTCTGCCATTTAGCTTCACAGTTTGCCGATGTTGCTGGTGATTATCCTGGTGAGCCGCTTGCACTGGGTCTGCCTCGTGCAGAATGCCCCAAAATTCCTCCTGCTCTAGGCAGTGAGCAGCAGGCTGAGGTGGGTGCTGGTTTCCATTAACTGGTCTCCTCCAGGACTGAGCCTGGTTGGCACTGTTCAGGGGGCACTCAGGACGCTTGTGCCCCAACTGCTTGCACCCATAGCACCGGATGGGTTGGGAGTACTCCCGGGCATTAAATCGGGCTGGTTGCATATAATTGTTAGCTGGTGGTGCGGCTGGGGTACGGTGTACTGGGGGTTGGTAGACTGCGGGAGCGGGTGTTACTGCTGGTCGATACTCCAGTCTGGCAGGGGCTTTAGCAGCTGTACCATCCAACTTGCGGGCATCCGTGTATTCGTCTGCCAGACGGGCAGCCTCGGGTAGGGTAGAGGGTTTTCTGTCTCGGACCCATTCCCGGACCCCAGCAGGTAGTCTATCAAAGCAGTGCTCCAGCAGGAACACTTGTAACACCTCCTCCCCAGTTACCGCCTGGCATCCAGCCATCCAGTGGGCTGCGGTACGATGGACTCTGCAGGCCCATTCCACATAAGAGTCCCCAACCAGCTTGTTGGTTTCTCTAAACCTCCGCCTGTACGCCTCTGGGGTCACTGCATACCTGGCTAGGAGCGCCTCTTTCACAGCCCGGTAGCTGGTGATCTCCTCCTCTGGGATGGCCCGAAAAGCTTCACTAGCCCGGCCAGATAATTTCCCAGAGAGGATGGTGACCCATTCATCTGCAGGTACCTGATGTAGCGCACACTGCCTCTCAAAGTCTGCCAAAAATCCATCAATCTCTCCCTCTGTTTCCACAAAATTTTTAAACGCAGCAAAAGGTACCTTTTTTCTAGCAACCACATTATTGTCATACGGTACCTCTGCTGCTGCAGCTCCTCTTTCCCGGGCTGCCTGTTGTGTTGCAACTGCTGCCTGCACACGAACCACGATGTCAGCTGAGGGGTTGGGGCCAAAATGTGCCAGCCTTATTTGTACTGCCCGGTTGAATTGTATTTCCTCGGGTGTTAAATCCAAGGTACTGGGCACGTTGACTCTTTCCATTCCCGTTGCTGCATCCATCTCCAGTAGCAAAGCAATAATCTCCCGTTTCTTTAAATTGCTTGCTGACCTTCCTCGGCGTTCCAATATGTCCTTAAGTGTAGCACGCCTTAATTCCTCGTACTGCATCTCTTGTAGCTGACCTCCAATGCTGTAGGATTCATCCCGTCGCTTGCCACCAATTGTTAAGACACCTCCCGTGTCTTTAAGCCAAACCGCCGTTTAGTAAACCTTCCCCGGCTGCAGTACAGTCTCTGTTCGCTTACTCTGTAACCCACGAACCAAATGCAGGGGAAGCGGCAATCTCCCGATCGAAATCCACGAACGGCTCCAAACTCCCGAACGGCAATATACGAACTGCTAGGAACCGTCGAACAATAATATCCCCAAAGCGGCTTTCGTTCCATCCAGCAGTCTCTAAACGTGAAGAAGAAATCCCCCCAATAACGAGACAGAAGCTCCGCATTGAGGGTCAAATAAGATCTGGGTTTACTGTGGGCTACCTGCCCGTATTTATGCAGGTCTCCCACCTGGTGGACACTCCCCTAGGGGACCAAATGGAAGACTTAAAGTACAGACAGATAGCAGGACATTTCTGACACACAGTCACATATTTTACCCACAGTGCATTCTGATTCCCTCCCCTCTGTCCTGGAGTTAATTACCAAGTAACTCAATTAACTCCAGGACAAGGACAGTCGCCATCTTAAGCATGAAATAATAAAAGACACAAAAATGCATAACTACATGAAAACTGAACATTTCCCATTCGTATTACATGTCCCCAGATAGCCTGGATCTGAGTGCATATTATTGGCGAATAGCGCTCAGATCCCACACACATAGTTCAATCGCCATGGAGTCAAAGTTCTTACAGTCTTTCGGTACACGAATGACTCCATGGGTGGGCTATCTGGGTTAAGTCTTTTGTGTGTTCTCAATCTCCCGAACGGCCGATGTTCGCATGCTTTCGTGGAGGCAGCCAGGCGTTCCCTTGTTTCAGCGGTGTTCGACAGAAAAAGTGTCCGTTTTTCGTTCCATAGAAATAGAGCCAAACACCGCTGAGCGTTCGCATGATTTAAAATGGCCGCTGCCTCGTGGTCGACATACGAACGACGACCACCCTGAGTTCGGTTTAATTGAGAAGTGTCTGCGGTTAACCACAACGTTATAATGGTGATCACTTCGTTAACCTGCAGCACACTCCTCACTTGGGTGGCCGTTCGTTCGGCGGTTTTGTTCGGGAAAAAGAGTCATTCGAATGGCTGGGCTATAGAAACCAGCCATTCATACGAACGGGGACAAACAGACGAACGGGCAAAAATCCAGCAGACAGATGGTTCTGTCACAACATCTTTTAAATCAGCTCCATTTGCCGCCTTGCAAAGTCTTTCGATTGCATTTTTCATAACGTTAGTTAACATTTGAGGTCCGAGCGCCCGAATTTCTGCACCAATATTCTCCCCGAGCTGCTCAGGTGTACGCGGTTTGTTCATGTACATCCGCTCCTTCAGATTTCCACGGAAGTACAGGAAGTAATCGGGACATGAAAGGTCGGGCGAAGTATTCTGTGAATTCTTTTTAATTATCTGCTTGGTGAACAGTTTTCTTGGTTTTTGAAAATAAAATTACACTATTTTTACTTGTTACTTCGTGAAAAAGATTCCATTATTGCACTCCACTAGACACCATAACCACCGCAGACCCCACGACCCGCCGCAGCTTGGTTGGGGTCTCGCCGTCTTTCACCCACTCTGGACCCAAGACCAGGATCCAGCTTCCAGTAGGCAGACCTCTCTTAGAATCCAGAGAGCAGGAACCAGGAACAGCTCTTACAAGAGCTTAGTGATTATACTCTGGGGAGTATAGTGATTATAGCAATCCCCAGAGTGTAGGTCTCCAATCCCCCAAACATGAGCCAAGACTTCATGAAGGGTAGAACAGGTCTGTTTAATGCAAGCCAGCAGTCACAATTTAAACAATTCCTCAGGCCAGAGGCACACCCCCTGGGCCTGATAAAAACACAGGCACACAAACCAATCAGAACAATACTACAATGTTTGACCCTCCCACATACAGCACACAATCCCTCTGCCAGTGATACAATTAAATAAGACAATGGACTAACTCACTTAATTCTAAGCAACAAAAAACATTTTTACAAACCCCCCAAAATACCCCAAAATACAACATATCCCCACAAAACATCCCCCAAAATCACCCAGATCTGTTCAGGAATTTCCTGGAAGTCTTATTTCTGCCCCACCGTGCACATGGTCCCATGCCCAAAACAGTTCCATACACTCGACGGCAAAACACTGCCGGACAATTTAAGATGGCGTCCGCCACAGTGCCAGTTAAAACGCTCTGCCCGGATGCTAGCTCTTCTGCTGGAAAGGGGTCAGCGGGTATTGACGTCTCCTCCACTACCCCCAGGACTCGGTTGGGTAGCTGCTGCTGGAGAGGGGGACTGGTTGTCCCCTCTCTCTGTAAAGTACACGGCAGCTGGGGAATGAGACCAGTAGTCTCCACTCCCTGTCGGACACATTGCCGCTGGAGAGAGAGACCGATTGTCTCCTCTCCCTGTAACGCTACTTGATGCTGGGTAGTGGTAGCGATCATCTCCACTCCCTGATGCTTTCTGCTGCTGAGATGAGGGATCAAAAGTCTCCTCTCTCTGTGACACGGGCTGCCGCTGGGGAGAAAGACCAGTTGTCTCTTCTCCTTTTATAACACACTGCCGCTGAGGATCTTGGCTGGCTACTCAGCATCCCTGCAGGGCCAGTAGAGAGACCTCGGTCCCATCTCCACCTGCCTACTGTGGGTCCTCCCAGGACCAGTCTATGAGGTCCCCTATCTCTACTGCTGGTAGGGAAGCAGGGGGTACCTCAGCTGGGTCTTGCCAGTTGTAGTGCTGCAGTCATGGGTCTGGTATCCATCTGTCCTGCAGGTTATGTGGAGATTGAATCGAGCAGAACAGATGTTGGTAGTCCTGCTCCAGCATGTCAGATCTGCTTTCACCCCCCTTTCAGACCAGGCATGTCAGATCTGCTTTCACCCCCCTTTCGGGAGGCCAGATCACGGGAGTACGGGAGCACGGGAGCACGGGAGCACGGGAGCACGGGAGAGCAGGCTAAATCTTGGTGTAAATAGATTATGCCGGACACCGGTGTCTAGGTGTAAATTTCGGTCGCTAGGTCGGGGAGGCCGGCGAGACTAAGCAGATTTTGTTATATGTGTAACACCATAACTGTTACTAACTAATCTGTGACTTTAAAACTGTATTATAACCACTTGCTAACCATACCATAACCACTGATTGTAAAGATGAAGTTACTATTTTAGACTCACCCTCTGAGTCTGAACGTCCCTCCCCACCCCCTTACACCTAAGGTTAGAGGAGGTGCTGCTGGTGTTGCCACTCCCCCTTTCCCATTGTCCCTGCCCACTCATTCATCTAGTTTAGAGCCCAGCCCACTTGCCCTGAGTCCTCCCCTTCCGTTACCTACCTCCACTAGTTCTATATATCCAGAATTAACGTCACTTCTGGTTCCTGGTCAGGCTCCTCCCAGCCCGGCCCGCAACATCCTGTTGACTGAACCTCCGCCCGGTAAAATTAACCTGCCTCATTCTCCTTACCTTACTACCATAAAACAGCCTCGCCGCAGTCCTATATTAACCCGACAGATGACTGGTACCCTTCAATCCCGACATTACCAAATGCCCCTCCGACTTACACCGGGCCCAACACACGTTGATGAAAATGGCCAAATACAATGGGCAGATCCAGTGTTTCTCTATGTCCCCTTCACCACAACTGATCTATTCAATTGGAAGAGTCATAACTCTTCGTATACCGACAAACCTCAAGTCATGACAGATTTGGTTACCTCTATTATACAAACTCACAATCCCACCTGGGCCGATTGCCAGCAATTATTATTAACTTTATTTAATTGTGAGGAAAGGACCCAGATTAATCAAGTGGCTATTAAAGTGCTTGAGGAAACGGCCCGTACTCAAAACCAGGCCAATCCAGCTGCATGGGCTGCAGCCCATTATCCAAATGTTGACCCAAATTGGAATGTGAATGGTGCTGACATGCCCCAATTAAGGGCTTATCGGGAAGCCATTATTGCTGGCATGAAGACAGGAGGGAAGAACGCAATCAATATGTCAAAGACGGCTGAGGTGTTGCAAAAGGTTGATGAGTCACCTAGTGCCTTTTATGAAAGATTATTGGAGTCATATAGATTGTATACTCCTCTTAATCCAGAGGCCCCTGAGAATTCTCGAATGATTAACTCAGCATTTGTCAGCCAGGCCCAAGGTGATATTAAAAGAAAATTGCAAAAGTTAGAGCGATTTGTAGGGATATCCATATCACAGCTAATGGAGATTGCAAATAAAGTGTATATGAATAGGGAAACTGAGATAAAGCGGGAGGAAGAACGTAAAATGAGGAAGAAGGCAGATATGCTAGCGGTAGCTATCACAAGTGTAGAAAGACAGGGAAGGGAAGTGAATAAAGGAGTCGAAAATAGGCTGAGTAAGGGACCTTTAAGTAGGAATCAATGTGCGTTTTGTAGAGAGGAAGGACATTGGAAGAATGAGTGTCCACAGAGAGAGCATTATGAAAATAATAGACAAGGAGAGCGAAGAGTACAAGGAGGTTATAGTGGTAGTTATAGAGGAAGAGGAAGTTTTGGAGGGAACGGTAGGAATAGTAGAGGGAGTGTTCAAGGAGATAGATATTATCCTCCTACTCAGAGACCAAGAGATAGAGAGGATAGAGATTCTGTGGGTCTGGCTGACACTATCATGGAAGACTATTGATACCGACTGGGCTCCATCCCCCTTGGCCGAGCGGAGCCTATGGTCGATGTAGCAATAAGGGGAAAGAGAAGTTCTTTCACGATTGACACTGGTGCTGAACATTCCGTGGTGACTAAACTGGTGGCTCCGCCTTCAGGAAAAACTATAACTGTGATAGATGCTACTGGTAGAAGCGCAGTGTGGCGAAACCGACCTCGCCACTGGGCATTGGAGAAGACTGATTGCCAGCCTCCTGCCATGTGACTATGGCCCCTGGGATGTATTGCCCTTTAAAGACATGATTTGGGCATAAGGGATTTGTGTTGTGCTGCTGCTGGCTCTTTAAGAACCATCTGGGGACATACTGTGGAGTTACTGGGTGGCCACCATTTCCTGTATCAGAAGCACATGGTGAGAACAATGGATGGCGGCCATTTTAACTCACAGACACTGTTTGGACTTTTCAACACGGTGCCATCTCGCCAGTATTTGGTGCACAGAGACATTGTGCAGTGGTTTTGGACTATACAGCAAGGGACACATTATACAGTGATTGTTTTTCATTTAGCCTGTATATGTTCTGCAGAATCTGCATTAAACTGTATCTTCCAAAGTACTGAACGGATCTGGGTGAATTTTGGATATGTGGTTCACCCAGATCCCCCGGTTCCAAGGATATACTTATACTTTATGGGGTTATTGCATGTTTTGGGGTCCCTGTGATGTGTTTTATGAAACTGTATTTCTCTGTCTGTGATAATTATATTACCCATTGTGTAAGGTAATTGTATCACAGGCAGAGGGGAGGATTTTGTGTGGGAGTGTCTGAGTGTATTGTACGTGTTATTGGTTGTTCTGTAAAACCCTGTGGGCAGTACTAAGTTTGTGGATTGGGAATAAAAGAGGCTGTATGTGCCAGTCCAGTGAGTTCCTGCTTAACCCTCAAAGTGAAGTGTCGTCTCATTATTGGGGGAGGATTTATTGTATGCTGTTCCAGTTTGACTGCTAGGAGTGTAAACCTATTCGCATGGTTTTTCCTATTCGGCTGTATACAACATTCCTATGCTTAGAAGTACTCATATGCTTCTCCGGTTCGGTGATTGTGGTGTCTTCTGCAGTGCTTGAAGTCCTCAGGAAGTGCTAGGAGCATCCTTCAACAGAGGTACCCAGTCGGGGTGCCAGGTGATCCGTTACACGCAGCTAGACCGGTTCTTAAAAGTCGCACTTGCATTCTGGGAGGCCATTTGGTGAAGCACCAGTTCCTATTGTGATAAAGTGAAGGCAGATAGGCCTTTTAACCCCAGGGGAAGAAAGTGTAGTTTGTGTGTTGCACAACACAAAACACTGTTTAGTTATGGGCCCCTGGGGTGGAGCATTTGGAGAGAAGGGTGGGCCAATGCTCCACTCCACAGTTTAGTGGTTTTCTGGGGAGACATGGATCCAGGCCAGGGTTTTTTGGATCGTCTCCAACCCACTGCTCAGCTGCAGTTAATGAGCTGTTGCAGTGGGAATAAACTCCTCCCTGCTAGGCAGGTAAAGGAGAGGGATTGCTGGCTTCCTCCCAGGAAGCAGGTAGGAGAGAGAGGCTGTTCTCTCCAGATAGTCAAGGAGACTAGGCACTTGGAGTGCAGAAAGGAAGCAGTCAGGGCAAGACTGGCTTGGAGCACTGGGAGTGCAGAAAGGAAAGCAGTCAGGGCAAGGCTGGCTTGGAGCACTGGGAGTGCAGAAAGCAAAGCAGTCAGGGCAAGGCTGGCTTGGAGCACTGGGAGTGCAGAAAGGAATGCAACAGGCTAGGCAGCAGAGTGTTGCTAACTAATAAGGTTGGTGCAATATTGTGTTTAGTTCAACCCTGAGAGATAGGGAACTAATGTCAGTTAGTGCTCAGACGAGCTAGGTGTTTGTTTATAGGGTTTTCTGTTACTTTTGTTTTTCATTTTCTGCTGTATCCTGTGTGGATTTGCAAATAAAGTGCCTGAGTATATGCAATTACAAGGACTGTGCATGTTTTTACCCTAGAGGGCCGTGCTACCTGGTGACAAGGATCACAATATGGTGGAGAATGCGGGCATAGTAGCACATTGAGGATCTGTGGGTGTGCCAGTCATTCAGTAGTCTGCTTGAGGACTTTTTATTTTTGCAGACCTGTTTAAAAAAAAAAAACAAAAAAAAACAAATTAGTAGCCCTGTACCTTTAAGACTCTTATCTGCTTGGTGCTATAATGGAGGACCTGCTGAAGGCTCTGGTACAGGCAACCACTGTACAACAAGAGGCAACTGCTATACAACAAAACACCAACCATTTCCTGGCTGCACAGATTAAGAACCTGAGGGATGCTCAGCAGGAGCACAGAGCTGCACTTACTGAGGTTTTGCAGATTGCCCCCTGCAGTGAGAGTGGGGACAAGGGACCCCATAACCAAGCTACTGACATCCTGCATAAGATGACAGAGGCAGTAGAAGAAGTCTTTCGCAAGCTGAAAAGCATGGAGGCAACAAAGCGTGATGTTGAGAAACACACAGAAGAGAGAGAACCGGAATTAAAAGGCAAGAAGGATAAAATTGATCCTGAAAGCAGTGATAATGTGGAAGATGGTGAAAAGGCAGTTGGATCATCCATGGAACAAAAAGCAAAAGAGAAAAAGGTAGTAACGAGACCAGCAAATCTAAAGGAAAACCCGGAATTGTCAAGAGGCAGTGATGGTGACAGTGATGACATGCGCCAAAGTAAGAGAGGTCAGAGGAATCAGAAGGGAGAACGAGACAAACTGATTACTGAAGTTGACAAGTGTTTATTTGAAAATCAAAACGTTGCAGCTTCACATGAAAGCCTCAAACTTGCTCTGTATGGCATCACAACAGATAAAGCGATCTTGGGAAAAGAGTTGGAAACAAAAATATTTTCATGCTCAGAAACTGAATCTTGCATGTTTCAAGAGAATGCTGGAAAGACATTTGAAAACAGAAAGGTACTGATAAATCTTCCCAAGGTAACAGAAGAAGAATCAGAGGATGATGAGGATTATGTTCCTTCAGAAGACTGGCAAAAGGAAATAATGGTTGGTTCCATGTTCCAGGCAGAGATTCCAGTTGGCATCTGCAAGTACAAGGAAACTGAAAGAGTGTA